AGGCAAAAAGTTCAGACTAAGACTAAGTTTTATAAGTGTAAAGTTGGGTAGTCAAGGATATAATATGATATACAAATATTCCTTTAATTTCCTAATATAAATAAATTGTCTAACAAAAAAAAAATTTTTTAAGCACTTGAAAATAATTGAAAAATATATTTAAAAAAAAAAGATTTTCAATCAATTAAATTTAATGTCCGGTTTCATTTCGTCTGCTAGTATACTCTTTATAAAAAAAGACCAACAAAACTCATTCAAAGAGTTACAAATTTGAGAAAAGCGTTGAATTAGCAACAATTACAGTTGAAGCTGTGCAACAATTTGATGAACTATGCGTTCATTTGGAGGGTCGCCGACTCAATAAAAAGCCGAAGCCGTGCCACGTAATTAAATGTGAAGACTGTGCCATTATGGCCTCTGCTCCCAATGCGCTGCGGCCCACAATAAAGCGGAAAAAAGTATATAAAAAAACTATAAGTTGAGGCTCAGGAAAAAAAAAGAAGTGAAGTCGAAACGCTTTTCGCAAGCAAACGTGCTGTCATTAAATTTAATAAGCACTTTTTAGGCCAAGCTTGGATTTTTGAGCCCGCCTGTATGAAAAAGCACTAGACAACAAAAACGACAAACGAAGCGTTTTCAAAATGAAATGGTCTGGCAAAATATGAAAACAAAATCGAAAAAAAAAAAAGAAAAGAAAACCAAAAAATAAAAAATAAACTAGAAAACAAACAGAGAAACAAAAACGACGAAACGAAGAATTAAAAGAAACTATAAATGACATTTTGCGCTTTGCTCAGTTTCAGCGTGGTGTTCTTTCCGGGTTTTTCTATAGGGTTTTTCTTCGAAAAGTAAATGAACTTTAAGCACCATGTCTAACGGCCCATTTGGGGCTACCAGACAGCATACAGTAGACAGCCGACAGCCGACAGCGTCGCCCAGGTGGCTTATTTAAGTTGACAGCGGTTACGCAATGCCATAGAACGGTCTTACCTCAATTACGTTTGGCCAACACAAAAGCCCGTTAAAGGACAAATTGAGTTATTAACTAAGCCGAGCTGTAAGCAAATCGCTTTAAAGACGCTGGCGTGAAAAACTAAATGCGTTTTTAAACGCGGTCCAGTTGGATAAAGAGGCAGAAAAAAAAAACAAATAACGCGCGCGCGCACACACAACTGGAGCAAAAGTTGACGGAAGCATTCATTAGGGACCACACTGTAGATGATGATGACGATACGGCCGATGATGATGGTGATGCTGCTGCTGATGATGGCTTTTTGTGTGTGCACCTAGAGCTGGAGCCAGAGCTCTCTTATTGCGATTGCATTTCAATGCAGCTGCTAGTCAAAATGTCATTCGTTACAGTAAAAAATAATTATTAGAAAAATGCGCAAAGCTATATATAACATGAAAGTAATGTCAACTAAAGCGACTTAATAGTACGCTGCATTAAAAAAATATATAAACAAATAAATATAAAAATATATTATAAAAACTGGCCTTGCCTGTTGAGCAAAATGAAGTGAAGTGTCTCGCTGCTCAGTAAAAAATTAAATATATACTTGAATGCATAATTCGAAGCTCTCAGCGCAATAAGCTTACAAAACTGCGTCAACAAATGGCATAAAAATTAAGTGAAACTGAGCTCATTTCACTTCAAACTTTATATACGCCGAGTATTATCTAATCACATGTGGAGCTATGATAAACGTGACCCAAGTTTAGTTTGCAAAAATATCAATCATAAAAATCAGTCTACCTTGAAAATGCAGAGTAGTGGAGAGTGGCTTATCACATTTCCTACAACTTTCTACTGTCAATTGCGGCACATATAATGTACTCACTTCAAGCATATATATATATATGTATATTTATAATATCGCATTTCAGTGCAGAATTTTTTCAGTGTTCGCAATTCAGTGCACATGAGCGCACACTCCAACTGCAGCGCGTCTGCTGTAAATGCAATTGCAACTGCAACTGCAACTTCAGCCACAAAATCCAGAACCAGAACCAGCAGCGACTACAACTGCGGCACTCCCTCTTCCACTTCATGCCTGCTCTATATATATAGTGCACTTTATAGCTTTATCCAAACTCTAGCCCTGGCCCGCTCCAGCGCTCTCAACTGCCAACTCAATTATAAAAATGGCAAAACGCATAAAACACATTAAGAAGCAGAAGCAGACTGCAAAAATAAGAGAAATGTGCACGTGGAAAAGGTTTTGTGTTGCATTTTTCCTTTTATCGTTTTGTGCAATTTTAGTTTTTCCTCAGCGTTCTCTACATTCCTTTCGCATTTTGACTTTCGAGCGTTGTGCCGTTATGAAAGCACCGGCAGCAGCCAAAAGAAAATACAATAAATTATGAAAAACTTTTGTGCGCCGCCAGCATAAAAGTGCACTGAAAAAATGAGTTCGTAACTCAGGGATCCAATAAGCGGGCCGAATTTAAATGTTACTTGTTGAGGTCGAATTTATGAGAAGCGCAAAGAGAGGCACCAAAGCAAATAGAGATTGTCAGGCAAGCTCTAAGATTACAGCTATCACTCGCAGTTGCAGAAATGCATTTAATTTCGGCTTTTTGAGAGGCGCCAAGGGAGGCGCCAAAGCGGGAAAAGATCTCGCAAAGATAAATTTATATCAGTTTGCAATTTAGTCAAAGCATTTCATTTAAGTCGATGAAAGACACTCAAGCGATAAGTAAATTAATAGCAGCTGTTACTATGTCAACATTTTTGCTAGTCATATTCATGAGAAGCGCAAAGAGGGGCAAGTAAAACGAGAACAGCTGTCGTTAATGATCATATTTTTTATTTCAAATTTCAAATGATGTAAGCTTACCAGGAACAGGTAGTTCCTGGCACAAGTGCATTACCAAACAAATGGCTAACCAACCACCAATTTGTTCGGCGGAACAAAGAGAAAGGGAGAGAGAGAGAGAGTGCGAAAGAATGGTGTAGAAAGAGAGCACAATCAATTCGAACTGATCGACGCCGACAGCTGCCCGATGAGGCCAACAACATGAGCAAGCAGTTCGAGGCACGCAGCGTGGGCACCCAACGGCGACGACTGAATGAAGCAGCACCTGCCCAGTGCAGAAACATACAAATACAACAGCAACTGAAAAGAAACAATTTCAATAGCAGAGCAATTGAAGAGTTCAAGAGCGTGGGCCGAGAGACCGCTGGAAGTTTGCGTGATGCCGGAAATGCAATTGTCGCATGCGACACGCCCACCAAAAAACGAAACAAAAAACAATTGCCATGGCAACCAATGCTTGTGTGTGTGTGGCTTAATTATATAAAAATCAATTTAACATAGTATGAGTAACATTTTATCATTGAGCCGCGCGACACTTCAACGAAATGGAAATTCGAGCTCGCTCGCACATTGTTTACAATTTGTTGTTGGCTTGTGCCAAGCGCTGTGCGACAAGCAACTGCATTTGGTGGCACTTAAATGGGCATGCCACGGGTCGCCAAGATCACCGAAGCAGCTGTCAGTCGTGCGCTGTGGCCAAACATGTCTAACGGCTGTTTCTCCGCAGAATGAGAAACCAAAAAAGTATCTGATGGATGCATGTGCGCCTGTTGGTTCTTATGGATTTAGATAGTTCTCAGCGCTGGCTGCTGCTGTGGGGCACACACATGTTGTTGCTGTTGTTGGCAGGTAAATATTAATAAAACTACTCAAGCGCACACACACACACTCACACACACTTGGATGGAATTTGGTGAAAATTGCAACATGAAAAACTTGAAAAACCGGCAATGGCAATAGTGCATGAAAACGGCCCAACTGGCAAAACTGGCTAAGCAAAAAATAAACAAAAACAAACACATTAACAATTCACACATTTGCGGCAACATAATTTCAGTTAGCGAGCGACGCGGCGCGAGGTTCGCTTGCGGCAAATTCAAAATTGCAATTGGCAAAAAAAATATGCCTCAGAGTGTGTGAAAAGCATGAGAATGCGAGATACACAAATGTGGCATATGAATACGTGCCTAGCTGTGTGTGAGTGAGTGTGTTTTGCCAACAATTGTGCGCAATTACAACAAGCCCAAAAGCCAGTTGCAACAATGTGTGGCAGCATTCATAACTCAAAATGCGCGAATAGCAGTTGCAAACTGCAAAGAAAGAATTGCAATCATGCGGTTTTTGTCTGCGACCCAACAGATAATATATGTTTATGACTATTTGCCAGGGCAGTTGAAAGAATTTCAAAAGACTCAAAGGCAAATCCATTAGACGCAAACTGCGGCAACTTAGCAATTTAATGCTAGACGGCATAATAGAGCAGTTGGAGTGGACGCTTTGTCCTCTCTTTTTGCCAGGATGAGTGGCTGTAGATAACTAAAAGATAAATCTTAACTAGCAATTAAGATAATAAAAGAGCTGGGGAGAGAAAACGCGGAATAGTTTGAGAGATATTGCTGATTTGTATATAAAAGAGAGAGAGAGAGAGAGAGAGAGAAAGAGAGGGAGGGAGAGAGGGAGAGAGGGAGAGCGAAAGACGAAGAGAGGGAGAGAGGATGGGAGTGAGAGATAGAGTGGTAGAGAGCGAGAATCTATCTAGATAACTCTTTCTGAGCTCTACTTAGAAAACTAAAGTTAAACTATCAATAATTATCGATATCTATCGATATATATTATCAAATCGACTTAATACAATGTCAATACTTATCGATCAATGTTAAATACTAAAAGTAGTATCAAGTAGTTACTGATAGATATTTATCGATATCAAGCAGCCATTGATAGATATTTATCGGTTTACATTATGTAACAGGAACCTAAGCCTATCCTACAGATGACAAGACAAAAGTGAACATCTTTCGAAACATGTCACCAGCAATATTTGTCAAGTTACTGCACCCCACATCTTGCACCCACTTTCAGCAAGTTGTTGCTTAACACCTTGCTATAAGTGTCCTTTGTGGCATCTGTCGACACTTGAAAAAAAAAGTTCTAGCTAAAATCAACTAGTTGTAGGCGCTGGGTCAGAGTTGTCAATGTTTGTTGGCCGTAACATTCAGCGTAGTTCAGCACCGTAAAGTCTACAAAAATTCCGAAAAAAAAGAAAATAAAACTTAAGCAACGTATCGAAATTTTTGAACAAAATTCCAGTAAGTAGCGCCAAAGAAGTCAACATGAACAGCAACAACAGCCCTAAAAGCAGCAATTAGTATATGATAATTACTGTTACTATTATTACTATAATCGCTCTATATAGCCAGTGACATGTCTGAACTGCAAGCATCGCTACTGCTCAAGCGGCAACTCGCTGAGTTGCATCGCAATCCCGTCGAAGGCTTCTCCGCCGGGCTGATTAACGATGAGGACATCTTCAAGTGGGAGGTGGTCATCATCGGTCCGCCGGACACGCTGTATGAGGGCGGATGCTTCAAGGCTCATCTAGTCTTTCCCAAAGAGTACCCGCTGCGGCCGCCACGCATGAAATTCGTCACCGAGATCTGGCATCCGAATATTGAGAAGAACGGCGATGTCTGCATCTCCATACTGCACGAGCCGGGCGACGATAAATGGGGCTACGAGAAGGCCGAGGAGCGCTGGCTGCCCGTCCACACTGTGGAGACCATATTGCTGTCTGTCATCTCCATGCTAACGGATCCCAATGACGAGTCAGCGGCAAATGTGGACGCAGCCAAGGAATGGCGCGAAGATCATCCAGAATTCAAGCGCAAAGTAGCGCGTTGCGTGCGCCGCAGCCAGGAGGAGGTCTAGTGGGAGGAGTTGCCCGCCGCACACCTAAAGCAAGCCCTATTCGCACACAAGCACAGACACACCGACAGGCAGACAGACAAACACCAAAACACTCAAACGGTCAACATTCAAGCATGCGAATAAACTAAGCGACTGCTTGCAAAAAATCTCGCAACTGAAGTTCAATTTGCACAGCTGCCTCGAGCGAAAGTGTCATAAATACTATTATTTCTGTATTTTTGTTGGCTTTAATTGGCTAAGCAGTAGCAGCAGCACCAGCAGCTGGTAGCGCGCTGCCTTAATTAAGTTTCTCACATGATTAGCCGGCTAATTCTATGCCGACGCCCGTCAGCTTTAATTGGACATCTTCGCGCACTTGGTCAAGTCTCCCAAGTCTGGGTCAATCTTAAGCCGTGTGCTTAATACGCAGCGACAGCTGACAGTTGCCAGTTGAGCTCTTGTTGATCTGTGCTAACATTTTGCCTTGGCTGTAAGCAGCTTTTATTGACTTCTACTTCACATGCCCAAAGCCACAGCAACGAGCAGCAGCAATAAATATGCCGCTCACCTGGACGGGCTGGGCACATGGCAGCCAAGCAACTCTTAACGAGACACGAATTATTTTTAATAATGCCGAATATTTAATACTCTTAGCGGCAATATTTGGCTGTAGCTGCCTATAGTATATAGGCTTTTACTTATATATAAACAAGTATATGTATGCTAGTAAAAAAAACTCTTAGCATAAGTAAAGCTGTTATATATAATGGTCATCAGTTAGTAGGATAATGCATTGCCTATGCATGATCAGTCGAAAAATTGTTTAACTTATTTAAAAGTTCTTTCAAATCAAGGAAGTGTTTCAGACTAGTAGAAAATATTTCAGCGAAGTCTGGAAAGGCGCATAGCCTAAGAACATAGTGATATTTCCAAAGAGTTAACAGCTTCTAAGCTTATTATAATTTTAATATATAGAGAGAGTTATATAGAGCTGAATTATATATATGCATATACACATATATATCTATCGAATAACTGAATTATTAAAAGAAGGAATATTTTTAAGTAATGAAAACTAAATTTATATTTATTCCAAAATAGCAATAGATTCCTTGAGAACATAGGTTAATTGGTTACAAACTACAGCTCTATAATATAGTATTCAGATACACATATATATACAAATATATACAATTTTTTTCTATATATTCATAAGCTTAGTAAAACTGACAAGCTTTTATTTTCCTATGAATAGCTTCAAGTACTAAAATTTGAAAATAAAAAAATTTAATTTGCGCCGATAGTTCAGATGCCTAGCTATATAATATTGTAGCGAATGCTATTCTAATTATAGAATATTCATTAATTTGTACTCAAGCAAACTTTTATATATATTTTTTTCTATACAAAAAGAGCTAAAACGAACGTTAAATATGGCAATATGAACTTAAGTGTTATAATAGATGTTGAGTATATATTTCGACAGAAAAACAGTTATTCCGTATATGACAAAAGGCATGTTAAAATATCAATACTCTGCCCTGCCACAGTTAGTGTATGGAAAGCATTTTTTAGCAGCTAACTGAAGTTTGTTGTTTGTTGTTGCTGACCAGCGATTGTTGTTGGCATTGTTGTTGCTGCTGTTGTTGTTGTTTAGCAACAAGTTTTGCATTTTGATTTTGCATTGTTTGGTTCCGGCCATAATCCGGTCATGCCTGCCACATTGTTGAACAATGACTCAAAAAGCGCTTAATGAACATTTTTAGCTAAAGTTTTTATTATTTTTTTTATTTTTATATTTATTTTTATTTTGTTCTCTTTGCTGGGAGTGGCTTGCGCCCCGAAAAAAATCACGATTGTCTGGCATATATACACAAATAGAAATATTAAAACATTCCGAAATGAATATGAATCAGCGCAAACTGTGTTAATAAGGCCAAGCCAGTCTCTTGGCCAAACAAAAAAAACAGCATAAATATTGACAGGTCGAAAAAGAGATAAAACAAGAATTCGATGAAGAATCAGCCTAAAATCTTGGCCAACAAAATATGTAAGCAATAAAAAACGAAAACGAAAAGCTTAAGAAAACAGCACAGAAAACCTGCTTGGGATGGATGAAAAAAAGATGCCACAAAAGATGAAGAAGAAGAAGTCAAGTCGATGCTCCACCAATGTGGTTGAAGCTGCGACTGCGGCTGAGGTTCTTCATCAGCAGCAAAACTCACTCAGCGAGTAGAAATTGAATTGATGTTGTTGTTTTTGTTGTTGTTGGCCCAGACTAAAAACCGGCTTCAGCCTTGTCTTGCCTTGCCTTGTCTTGTCTGTGGCTAGCATACGCACAAAGCATAAGGCCTGGATACCTGGAGCCAAGCTGAGCCGCACCGAGGTGGGGCAAGCGCAGAGCTGATGATCATAAAGTTTATAAATAGCATTTCAATATAATGCAGTGAAATCTGTTTTCCACTACTGTTAATGGGAAAGCGAACAGGTCGGGGTCAGTCTGCGCGTGTACAGGTAGCTAGATAGCCAGCTAGCTAGCTGGTTCAGGCTCAGGTCAGGCTACATTAGTCAACGATCGAGGGTGGAAAAACACACTGTATTTCTGTGGAAAAGGGCGCCGCCTGTGCGACGTACACTTACCTACAAAAACGAGTACGAGTCCAATAGACAAGAGCTGTGCTCTGTTGTGCGTAGCTCTGTGTGTGTGCGTGCGTCGCATACGCTTAAAGTAAATTCCAATATGCGCTGGGAGCTGGCGTTGTATCTTACAGATACATTGGCTCAGATACTGGTTTTGATTTCGTATAGAGCTAGAGTGGGGCGAGCGAGATGGCAACTGCTGCGGGCTGCGTGCTGCGGTGAAAACGCGACAGTGAAAATGTCGCTATTGGTCGTTGCTCCTTTGCCTCGGATGAGTAATCCAAGCTAAAGGGTATCCGTTGGTCGGCTTTCGATATTTCTATATTCTTTTTGCACTCTACACTTTTTGTGGTAGTCGGAATCTCGCACTTGGTCGAACTTTGTTTATCTGTTTCTCTAAGTACAGAGCGCGTAGTTTGTACTTGTTAACAACATTTACACGCTGCTTGATTTTCGGTTGGACAAATGCACGAAAAAAGAACAACAATAATAATATCGAAGCCGCGGAAGAAACTACCTGACGCGTACCGCCGCGTCATAAAAACCGAATGCTGCTTCACTTGTTGTTGTTGCCGCTTGTTTGTTTATTTGTGTGTGTGAGTGTGCGTGCGTGTTTGTATTTTTAAAAACGCGCTACGTTTCGTTCGTCTGCGACGCGTCTCACATTCGCTTTAGCCGGGTCTCTCGAGCGCACACGTCCACCTGCGTCGCCGTCTCAAAGTAAACTAAACCCAACTACGTTGAAAACAAGTTTCTGTTAACGCTGTCGCGCTGCCTCAGTCGCCGTCGCCGTCGCCGTCACAGTCGTCGTCGCAGCTGCTGCTGGCGTCGCAACATAACATGCCGAAACGAGATAAATGCAAGCAGACACATGCACTCTCAAACACAGGAGCGAACTTGACTGCCTGCTCTGCGCCCAGATGTCTATGTGATTAGGATTTACAACACATGTTGACTGTATTTCTAGTGAATATTTTTCGGGGTTGGCATATTGTATTTATATAAGTGGTTTATTATAGCTATTGAATGTACTCGAAAATTGCTGCTTTTGCTTTTCAGCTCTCAAACTCCCAGTTTGACATTCAAACCTGCTCCAACTCGAACCGCACCTGAACTGTGCTGTAGCAACATTGTTGCTGGCAACATTTGGCGCTGTTGCTAGAGCTTGTTGTTGCCGGCTTTTTGGCTGCGTTGGTTTTTGTTATTGTTCATCGTTGGTCGTTGGCACCGTTGCACACAGCCACAGCCACACCCACACCTACACCCTCTCCCTGGCAGTCGCAACTCCCCCTTAAAGAGCATCGCAGGGTAGTTTGTATTTACACACACACACACATAACTCTATAACAGATACACTCCACCACTTCGACGTCCGTTTCGTATTTACATTTTACAATATGTACAATGCCTGGCGCTAAATATTTGATGAAGCTGCCAGGCAGTTGCATAGAGCTGCAGATAAAGATACAGACAGCCAAAGAGACAGTTAGATAGACTTTTGGCAAGACTGTGTGTCTGGTTGCTGGCAGCTGCAGCTTTTCCGCTTTTCATTTGCAAATGGCTGCTCCGCTCGGCTCGGCCATATTTGTTCGTTTCTAATTGTTTAGTTTTCCTTTTATGGTCTTATCTTTTATCTCATAACAGTTACTGCCTCATTTGCACTTGAAAATGCTGTCGGTACATTCGTATTTGCACTGACTGTTGATAATGCCAGCCTGTTTATCTTATCTAAGCGAATGTCGTCGTTTTGTCAGTCTTGACAATGTCAACGCCTCTGAACATAACGCTCAACGCATATGCATGAGATGCTGCCGTTGTTGGTGTTGTTGTGGCAGTTGCTGGTGTTCTTGTTGTTGTTGTTGCTGTTGCTGTTGCATATGTCTCTGCATTTCCATTTGCATTTGCATTTTGAACAATTGTCAATTGTGGTAAAGGCCCGGCTAGCAAAATTTGCATGAGTCGAGTGCATGGCAACATTTGCCAAGACGAGCTCACTTTGATGCCCAACGCACGAGCCACGCCCCCAGGCCTCCCACACACAGAGAGCAACTAAAAACTTACTGTACGTCTGGCATTTGTTTATCTTCTTGTTATATGTAATTTGCATAAAACTTGCTTTGCAGCTTCTGCCACAAAATTCGACCTGAGCCGCAGCTGCACTTTGACCCCACTTCACCCTCTGACCCACCCCCCCCATCACCACTCGAGAGTTCCGAAAGTTGCGGACACCACCCGTCATCATAAAAGACATTAAAAATTTGTGCATCTGCTGCAGCTCCGAGTGTGAGAAGAATCGAGAGTGAGAGAGAGGAAGGGCGAGAGCTGCAGTCGTCCTTTAGCGACTGCTGCTGCATATTCATGGTGGCAAGTCGTTGCAGTTGCAAGAACTTTACGAAACTGCGCTTATGGCCATGGAAATGGTTAAGGTAACTGGCCAAGTGAACTTTAATTAAATGTTAATGGCTCAACTTATTCGCCATTCGACTTGCTCGAATCCCTACTTCCGTTCGGAAGTGCAAGATGTGAAAAGTTGAGCACTCGACTTGGTTTTTAAAAATAGTTTGTGTTTGGCAGGCACAGGAAAGGCTTGAACAAACATTGAAGGTGCTATCAATGTTTACTTGAGTTTGCTTTACCAAGTGCTTGAAGCAGAGCGTAACAATCAGGAAATGTGTGAAATAAAAATTCTATATATATAAGAGTTTCCTAAGCTGACTCTGTTCGTTGTAAAGACTAAATATCTCTAGCTGCATCTTCAGTTAGGGTTTTAATAATTTAAAACCATCTCAAATATATCTCTGATAGCTACCTATCCCAAACCAGATATACATATAAGTAACCCTGCTTTGAAGTAGTACTTTTTAGAGCTGCTTCAAATTGAAGAAATTTCTTATCTATCCTAATCCAAAATATCTGAAATTTTTTGTCTACCCAATTTACTGTCTCTCGCCTTTGAGTCTGAAGCCAATTGCAAAGGAAAGCCTTGTAAAGTATATATAAATATGTATTTTTGATCAAGAGGTCCAGCACATCAGTCCGTCCGCTCATCCGTCTGTCCGCTCTTCCGACTGTCCACCTCATCTCTCACATATTAAACTAGACACGAAAGTTTATTGGAATAGAATATTTCAGATTTCAAAATATTTCACAAACGAATCAAAGTTTGTTTTTTTTTTTTTCAAATTATGAAATTTTCTATCCAATTTCCTTTGGTAACCAAAAAAACATAAATTCTGTTAACTTATTTCAACTAATGAATTAAATACATAAAAATAAAATTAAAAAACAATTTTAAGCAATGGACAAAACCAAGCGTAAAGCAAAATATGTTTTGATGGTTTGTGTGGGTTCGTAGATGAGCAAATAAATGTAAAATTTCCGAAATTGATTTGATCTGTAAATGCTGGCTTAGATAACATATGTCGCTCACCGATTGCGGAGGCTGTGCTGCATGCTGCGATCGTTAAGGACGGTCTCCAGGCCGAATGGCATGTGGATAGCGCAGCGATTGAGGCGTGGCATTTGGGCGCCCCGCCCGATGAACGAGCGCTACGAGTGCTTCAGAAAAACAAAATCGAATATCACAACCGCGCGCGGCGTCTGAAACGGGAGGATTTTGAGAAGTTTGATTTTATTGTGGGCATGGATCAGAGTATTATGGCATCTTTAAGGCTGCTGGAGCCACACTATGCCAAGGCCAAGCTGCTGATGTTGGGGGACTTTATGTTTGGCTTAAAACCGAGTGAACGCATTATTGACGATCCATATTACGTAAATTGATACATTTACCAGCACAATATTGTTACTCCATAATTATCCGTTTGCAGGAAATGGGCGAACAACCTTTTCACAAGATTTACGAACAGTGCACTCATGCATGTTCCAATTTTTTAAATCAAGCGCGTAACGACGAAATTTAACATTGAACTCAACTGTGTGGCACCATTGCAGGGTTAACAACAGCTGTTACGACAACAGCTGACGGACAAGTCGTGTGTCAGTGTTGGCTAATGACAGCGGCTGACAAACACACATTCTATAAAATATTTTGTCATAAAATTTGTTTTAGATATGGTCAAGAAGAAAATATTAATGATTTGCTTAGGTAATAAATTATAATCAATAAAAATTGCACAACTTCTTAATCCATTCAACTAAACACAGGCAACATCTGCCGCTCGCCGATAGCCGAAATTGTTATGGCAGAGACCTTGGCCAAGGCCAAGTTGGATTCAGTTGTGGACAGCGCCGCCACCGGCTCGTGGCATGTGGGCAATCGTGCCGACCCACGTGCTTTGAACACACTGAAGAATCATGGCCTGGAGAGCAAACACATTGTGCGTCAAATTAACAAGCAGGATTTCAACGAGTTTGACTATATATTCGGCATGGATGAAGCCAACATGGACGATCTGCGACGTCTGGCTCCAGAGGGTTCCAAGGCTGAGTTGCTTATGCTTGGCGACTTTGGACTTAGCAAAGAGAATCGCATCATTGAGGATCCCTATTATGTGAGTAAACTGTTTCTAAATTACAGCTGACGCTAATTTTAATTACCTACAGCAAAGCGGCTCAGAGGGTTTCGAGACGGCTTATCAACAATGCGTTGTAGCTTGTGAAGCGTTTGTCAAGCAGCGGCTGTTAAAATAATTCTCATTCCAATATCATCGTTTGTTATGTATAAAATGATTAAATTGCAATTGTAATCTGTTTAATTACCGGTTGTTTACGAGTATTTGTATGTAAATACATGTGCTTACGTGCATTCGTGTAGATAAGCGTGTGCATTTGATTATTACATAGTCTGCCAACTCATTCGATTTGCTGGGATGAGATTGATTTTGTTCTTATTCTCTAGGAATTCAGTATTCAGTTTAACACAATGTTGTTCAGTTCACATATATTGTCTAACAAGTTTATCAGCACTTGAAATATTTTGATTTAGCTACAATTTAAGAGATGAAAGTTTTGTTTGTCTGCTTGGGTAAGTGGTAAACTTTTATATTGAGAGTATCTATTGAATATTGTCCCAACAGCCAACACCTGTCGCTCACCTATGGCGGAGGCTGTCTTCAAGCATTTAATACTCAAAAACCATCTGACCAATTGGAAAACAGACAGCGCAGGATTAAGAGATTGGAATGTGGGTTTGCGGGCTCAGGGGCGAGCACAAGAATTGCTGCAGCAACATGGCTTAAAGTCGGAACATATAACTCGTGTGGTAAGAGTAATATTGATTCATAAATATAACCTTCTAATAGCCTTGCTCCATAGATAACCGTCGACGATTTCTACTATTTTGACTTTATTTTCGGCATGGATGAAAGCAACATAACGGAACTGCAACTAATAGCAGAGAAACTGGAGCCGCCGGCGCCATGCCAAATACAGTATCTAGGCAGCTATCTAAATCGCGAGGAAGATAAGATTATCAAGGATCCATACTTCGTAATTACTAAGAATTTGGGCTAATTGAGTTCACTAAATCGTTTTCAATTTGCAGAGCCAAGGCATGGCCAGCTTTCATACGGCGTATCTACAAATTAGGGAGAGCTGTGAGCGGTTCGTGGAACAATATAGGCCAGAAGCCTAAATGGTTATGACTAAAGATAGACTCTGTCTTTGGATATGCTGCTGTCTTCAGCATTTGCTGTCAGCTTAATTGTTTATAACTGAGATTATCTCGCATAAGACACAATGTAAATACTGCTTAAAAAAAAAATTCAATTCATTTCCCATTCGAATGGTCCAACTCCCTAGAGGATCTGGAATAGTCATAAGACAAAATCAAAATTGTTTGTTTTATCTAATTATACTTATATTCCTATTGCTAATAATGAAAATACACCAAGTTGATAATAATACTTAAGTGTACTTGGATGATTATCTTTGGCGAGGCCATCTATAGCTGAACTTTTGCTGCAAATCTAACTAGGCGTGCTATTATAATGTAATAATTGTAGTTTATCCAGCTGCTGTTGCCTCGGTCATCAGTGAATTATGTTTTATAGTGTTAAGTATATTAATAATAGTAATCATTTCGCAATAGTTAAATATACTATTAAATTTTTCGTAGTGTTTCTTGTCTTTAACAGGTTCTTTAAAAAACCTTGCCCTGCAGCACTTTGTCCATGAATAGCGACCAGCTATAGTCGAGCACTTGGTATGCCCGTTGCCGTTCTCTGTCCGTGAGCGTCGAGTAGCGCACAGAGTTGTAAACTAGAGTCTTGAGCACTCGGAGCCCGGCATTGTTGGGCGCCATGCTCATGATCGCGTAGTAGAAGTCGTAGCTTAAGCCTTTGGCATTCCAAAAGCCGGGATCATCATTGCAAATGACCACAGGCACGTCTAGTGCCAAATACTGTGCACCCGGATGATTGCGCATATCCCAGACCAGGTGTAGCACCTGATTCGATATGGGATTCAATTCCACGGCTATGCCTCTCGTCTTGACGGCGTTCATCAGTATGGGATGCTTGACCAGAGCAAAGGCGTGACCAACCCGTGTAGTGTTCAGCAGCAGAGCGTCCAGCAGATTAATATCCGTCGAGGCGCTGTACCAATCTGCAAAAAGCGTTTGCAAGTAAGACTTAGCTCTGGATAGGGAATACACAAATTCAACTAACTCGTTTCGCCTGCGTGTAGAAACAATCGTGTATTGGGCGGCAGTTCCTTTAAGACTGCCAGCTGTTCATAGAGAGGCTTTCCCTTATCCTCCTGCCCCACCAGATCAAAGCCAATCACAAACTGCGGAAAGGTCTCCCTGCAATCAAGAGAACTGATTGAACTTGCCCTTAAGTCTTGAGGGTAGTCATGCCTACTGTAGCATCCGGAATTCCTTTATGTTTTGCCTCAGCTTCTCCGCATCTGCGCCGCGCCACACGGCGTAGATGACCTTGATGCCAATGAAATTGGGATGCAAACGCATAAATTTCTCATTTAGCACCTGCAGCTCTCGCACGGCCTGCTCCTTGGGAAAGGTGCGTCCGCTGGCATCGTAGAGCTACGGACGACACGGAAGATGATCAGAGCAGGCAGCAGCACACCGGAATGCTTACCTCTTTGAGGCTAATGCGCAGCTCCGCATACATCACATTGTCATTGTAGAGCTCCTCGAGCAGCTGCCAGTGGTAGGCACGATATGCGGGCAGGTAGTAGATGGCTTCCGTCAAGGTATCAAACATTCCCTGGAACTTGGTCCAAACGGCAGTTATCGTGGGATATTCGACTGAGCAGGGAAAAAACGAGATGAGAAACTGACTGGGCTGGAAATAGTCTAGCTACTCACGTTCCGGCACGGGCGTATATAAATTGATGAGTCTCTCCAGGTTCTCATCGTACAGCATCGGATCAATGGAGCTCCTCCTCTCATCCGCCACGTACACATATTGCGAAGTGCATTTATGAAGCTTGACGGCGCGTCGAAAGCTCAGGACGCTGTGTCCCTCGGCGTCGGTGCAGCGCAGCATGCCCGGCATATATGACATATTTCGCACCACCCACTTGGAGCTGACCGCTGCGGTGTTATGCAAGTGGAGCACAGCGCCCTTTGGCATCTGCTGCACAAATTTAAAGACGGAACTGCGATCGATCAGAGGCTTAGCCTTAAAGAAATGCATGCCAGCCACGTTCTGATCGGCGTTCCTGAAGCCCTGCGCCAATTCGCCCAGCTTGTACTGCATGAAGAGATCGTCCACTTGAGTCTCCTTCTCGTTCAGACTGGTACGGCCGCCAGTCATCAGCTGCTCCTCGGCATTGAGCACTGCCTGGCGTGCCTTCTCATAGCCTGCAAGTTGAGATTGTACAAGTTTGCGTGATGGTCATCTATAGTTCGCCGAGACTTACTTATCGAAGTCTCCACAGCTGCATGCAGAGGTTTGGCCAGCAATCCTAGCAGCAGCAACAAAAGACGCTTCATTTTCTTCGAACTCCGATTTGTTTTGGCCAAAAGCGTGTTGAGCCGGCTGCACAAATATTGATTGTTGCTTTATTGACACGTTGGGAATTGTGTTATACAGGTCATTAAATTTGAGTTGATTTATTATGGGCCTCCGCGTCCAGGTGTTTGCGCCCGCTCGCTAGCTGCGCTCGCCAAGAACTGTGCGAAACGGCGTCGTCGCTTTATCAGCTTCACAGAAGCAAATTATAAAATAGTTTTACTAAAATTACGTTTGGGCGTAAACTCATTATTCACAATTAATAATGTTTTTCTTCATGTTTTTTGTTTTTGTTTGGATTTCTCTAATTTGGTTCTAGTAGTGAGTATTTCGCGAGTTTTTTGACTGGAGGTTTCGCTGTGCATATTAAGTGAATCAAAAAACTAAAAACAGACGCGCCCTAAGCTATACCCTGCCATTGCCGTTGCAGTGGGGTATATTGAAGCCCATTCAATTCGATGTCTAGCTGTATAGATGTACGAATTGGCGCTTATTTAGACCAGAAACAAGAAGAGCGCATTGGCATATGCCCAACTTGCTGCTTATTGTTAGGCATTTATTAATCAATTTTTGCTTTTGGCTAAATAATTTATGAGCTCTGAGCATAAAGAACGAAATATTGTTCAAAAAATTTAAAAAAAAATAAAAGCAAATTATTTGCTGCAATAAATCACAAATCTAACCTAAAAAAACTTTTTTTAATATTGATTATATAGTATAATCTATACAGAGTTATAAAAAAATCTTCGGGGCTTGGCGCTGGCATACAAAATATTTATATTATAAATTCCACTTTCAGCTACAATTTTTATTTAATTTATCTCAGTTAACTGCAGTTCCCTGTTGCCCTCAGCTCTCTAGGCTTAAGCTCATGTATGGAAACATCTGTGGATCCAGTCTCAGTTGCTTTCCCTATTTACAGGGTATCTTAACATTGCCATATATAGAAAAGCTCTTCGTTAATTGTCCACTGACGTTTACGGACGCGCTTAGCTGGTTTCTAATCGCATACGAAATGAGCTGTTTGTTCCCTCAATAAACCGCGATGCTTTTGCTCAGAATTCGCATTAGGGGCTGGGCGTACGTTTGTTCAACGGTAATTGACGGCATCAATTGTCACCAGCTTACTCCAAAGTAAAACTATAATTTATAAGAAATAATTTGATTGTATCAAAAAAAATAAAAAGGCATTCAAGCAAAGTCATTGCGGTTGACAAGAAGAGTAACAATTACCTGTGAAGTGTAAAAATGTGAAGGTAAAAAAAATGATAAATTAAATGATTATGTAACAGATGAAGAGATTGCATAATAAAATAAGAGTAATATAAGCAACGTATAATACGAATAATATGAAAATATGTATACACGTTCATACAGGTTGTAAAAGAGTATATTAGTTTTCTTTAATGCTCGTTTTGCTGCTGATCTGCTCACGTTAAGACATCTAAGCTGCGAAAATTTTCAAATAAGTTAAAGACGCTGCCTATATTACTCTATTGATTTCACCCATAGTTATCTATTATCATATATATACATATATATTGTACATAAAATTTTTCCCCTGTTTTTCCCTTTCTTCATCAAAGCTCCAATAAATTGCAATCGTGTTCCTCCTAATGCAGATTTCGCAGTGAAAAACATATTGATGTTCTAATACTAGATGCAAACACATATATATATATAGACATTTATACAGATATATATATATTTTTCATGGGACACCCTGTGCCAGATATCCCCCCGAGTTTAATTACAGTTGCTCTCCTCGAGAACTTGACTCATAATCGCAGTTAAAAAGTGAAACTTAATCTCATTTGTAGTAGATTTGTAGAAATTTGAATGAAAAACATAAAAATAAAAGCAATTTGTTTTTATTTAGCTTAAAGCCTCGCTGATAAGCGCAGTTCAATGTTGTTTTTATTTTCTGTACTACGTTTCCCACGATTCATTTCACTTTTTTCCCGCTTTGTTCTCTTGACAGTGACAGTCTAACACAGCTCATTCACACTCTCTTTCTCCTGCTCTTTCTGCATCTCACACCTTTTCGCACATTTATTGTGCAGCTGGACTGTTCCCCCTTTTGAATGTGGCAAAAAAAAATTGTACCTATCCCATTCAATGCCAAGTATCAATTTTAGTGGCCCCAAAACAATTTGGGTTAGAAAACAATATGCAAAAAAATATATTTTAAACTAAAAATATTCCATCTCTATGTATGTATAAATATATCAATGGGTATGCATGGCTAGCAAATTACCTACTTTTCGATGTGGCATATAGAATGTGTTCTAGATGAAATATAAACCAGCTCGATATCTTAACTCAGATTATTGCTGTTATTTACAGGGTATAATTGTATACTACTTAACTCAGCTGCACATAAACAGGATCGTTTAGCTTAAGTCTACAGTAGATTCAAGTACAAGCATTCATATAATCTTGCATACACGCCTAAGCCTCTACACACAACTAGGGCATTCTTATGTGAGCTAAGCCCGCCTCATGCAGGGTTCGCACTTTGACATACATGCAAATGGACGCAGTCATATCTGCATAAACTCTTTTGTGTATAGTTTTCGCGCCCTCGTCGGTCAGTATGCACAATTTTGCACGAAAAAATCTCTGGCATTGAACTCTGGACACAGCTGGCGCTAATCTCTCCCAGTCGAGAGCAGCGAAACATCTAAAATCATGTGGAGACTTTTAGTGCATGTTGATAGGCGCGAGTCGCCAGCGGCTTTATCAGTTAGCAAGCGGACGGCAAACGAGAGACAACACTCAAAATCGGGCACATATATACTATAGATCATACATAGTAAAGTGAATCAAATAATTTATATACTGACGGCGCGATGCTGCTGGAGCTGTTCTGCCTGTGGCTGCCTCTGCTGGGTCAGCTCTTGGCTGCAGATCAACGTAGGTAACCATAGATCCACACATATACCCGTTTGTACCCTGTTCTCTTTTCCGCAAATGACGTAAAGCCTATGTAACGCTGCGCGAGCGCATTATGAAAGCGGAGCAAATGGCCTCGCTCGGGGGCAACCTCTGGCTAACGGCGGATGAGGAGAAAGCCAACAGCATCCTCATGATTGCCAAGCGGGCGGAGATAGCCGAGGGCATTAAATACCCGGAGAAATACGCGCCAGCCATGCACTTCTTTCAGGGCAAGCAATATGTGCGCCAGAGCGATGTGTTTCGCATCATACAGAAGATGCCCAAGGGCGCCTTCCTGCATGGCCACAACACAGCCATGGTCAGCTCCAAGTGGATCATTACGAATCTCACCAACACCAACAATCTCTACACGTGTCGCGATATAAACGGAGTGTTGATCTTTACCTACGACACGGCCAGCTCCAATTGCCACAGTGAGGAGCAGAATGTGTGCACGGAGCGCATCAATGCCGAGGATCGGCATCAATACGAACGCCAGCTGGAGAAGCACATCAATATGCACACCACCAAGCCGGAGAGTAAGTGCCAGCGCTATCCATGATCTACCCCAACTCTAACCTCAATGCTTATTAGCGCTGATACCCAACAAGAAACTGATTTGGAATCGCTTCGAGAATATTTTCAACACCGTCGATCGTCTCTATAAGTATCAGCCCACCTACTGTGCCTATCACAAACGTCTGCTGGAGGAGCTCTGCGAGGATAATATCATCTATGCCGAGATCAGAGCTTCGCTCTCGCCTGTAAGTATGCTGTGAAAATGTCGGAAAGCCAAATCGAAACTGAATTTCAATTGATTTGGCCAGCTCTATGACGACACCAATCGCACATATAGATCGCTGGATGTGGCCAATCAGCTGGAGCGCATCGTTGAGGAGTTTAAGGCCAAGCATCCGGATTTTGTGGGCCTCAAAGTCATCTATGCGAAGCGCAATCGCGCCAGCGAGGAGAAAATGGCCGAGAATCTACGCACTTTCAAGCAGCTACAGTGAGTACTCGGATGACAGCTCTAATAACAACAATGATAATGATACCAATAATAAAAGTCATATATAAATACTAAAGATCTTTCCAAACATATCCCCATCTCTTACAGCTCTGCCAAGCCCAACTTTATTATTGGCTTCGATATGATTGGCCAGGAGGACACGGGCGATCCGATAAGTAAATACGTCAATGAGCTGTCCGATATGCCCAGCACGGCGAACTTTTTCTTTCATGCGGGCGAGACAAGTAAGTGAAGCTGCTGCACCACTCTGACTATGATATCTAAAATATTGCTATGCCTCAGATTGGTATGGGCGCACAGACTGGAATATGATGGATGCGATCTTGTTGAACACGAAACGCATTGGACATGGCTTTGCGCTGCCCAAGCATCCACAGTTGTGGTCAACGATTAAGAAACGCAACATTGCCATCGAGGTGAATCCGTTGTCCAATCAGGTTTTGGGCTTCATCTGGGATCTGCGCAATCATCCCGCCAGCTTTTTGATAGCCGAAAACTTTCCAATTATCATATCGGCGGATGATCCGGGCGTGTGGGGCGCCAAGGGACTGAGCTATGACTTCTACTATGCCTTCATGGCCATGGCGCCGGTGGAGGCGGACTTGCGTTTCCTCAAGCAGCTGGCCTTGAACTCCATGAAGTATTCGGTGCTCACCTCGGCGGAGAGGCGCAAATTCAATCGGGTGTTTCAAAAGAAATGGCAAGAGTTTATTGCAAACATCATAAATCCTAAGTTCGTATAGGAACTAAGCTAGTTTTAGAGCCAATTACAGACAGAGATTAACTACAAGTTAAATATTTGACATGCATTTCAAACTGCATTTGGAGCAAACCAGCCATGCAGGCACTTGGGCACAGGGCCATTGGTATGAAAATCACAACGTCCTAGCTCTGTCATGGTCTTGGCGCAGAGCACAATGAGACCCACATAGCAATCGTTCAGTCCGCCACCCACGACCATGGAGGCCAGGATGACGCCATCGTCCTCGCTTTGCGGCTCCGGCGAGGGCACAAAAATGGGCTCCGATGGATATACGTTATCCTCGCACCATGTCTTGCAGGTCTTACTCACAACATCCACCTTGATGAGCTGCGCAAAGAAACATTATTAAAAGAGAAATGTACTTAGCTTAGCTGAGCTTACCGTGCCCGGATTTTGTGCATCCACATCGGAGCTAATGGCATAAAAGTAGCGATAGTTCTTGCCCATATGCCGTTCGTAGTATATTCTGGGCGTCTCGCAGCCCCAGTCGCACAGCATTTCGGGCCGCACGAATATGCCAGTGGCACCCTGATAGGCCTCCGCTTGAGTGTTCTGCAGAGTGACCAGGTTGACGCAGCCATCCTCGTCGTACCGCGCGCGCTTCGACTCCTTGTAGGGACTCTGCTGCTTGCCATTGGTGGCCATGTAGGTAATGTCGGCATACTGCGAGGCGGAGTGCTTGAGGCGTGTGGGCGGTGGAGTAGCTAGACCCACCAGCGACAACGACTTGACCAGGCGTCGCTTGCTAGCGCTGCACGAGCTGCTGGCACCCAGCGGCAGTACAAAGCGCAGCGGACGCCCGCGAAAGAGTTGGGCATAGTTGGGATTCGTTTGCATATTGGCTATGGCCTCCAGGTACATGCAGTTGATCATGTCGGGATTCTTATAGCTGCATATGTCCACCACCACATGACCGTCCTGCTCGTACGCATTGATGATGTGCAGATAGAAAAAGGCTTCCGATTCGTAGCTCTGCACCAGCTTTCCGCTCGATCGCTCTATCAGATGAAACAGCGTGGGCTTATCCTCATACCACTTCAGGCAGGCCGCCAAGTGCTGATTGGACAGCTGCGCCTTAATGTACTCCGTCAGCGAGACGGACAACGGCTGCTCGACAATCACAAAGTAATGCTCGGTCAGGCCGAAGGTGTGCATATAGCCCGGATGCAGCTTCCAGCGACAGGGCAGCGTGGCCACCACGTGTGCATCCTCGAACATGTGCTGTCCATTTGGAAAGCAGATTATGGCATATGCCGGCCCGGATTTGGTCATGCTGGTGCCCAGATTATAGACCGTTCCGCTGGGCAGCACATGCGGATGCGAAGTGTGATTAATGATGCCCACAAAGTCGCTGGTGCAAATGCGCGCCTCAGTGGCGAGCGTGCAGGGATTTATGCTGAAAGCGAGAGTATTTGAGTTAGGCGTAGCATATGAATCTTATATCCGTTCCTTCTTCTTTTACCCCTCACACTGTCTGTACTAAATATTAAGTATACGCACCGATGCATGAAAGGCGTCTCGGTGAATGTGTAATACTGATCGCCGAACGGATAAATGGATATCATGGAGTTATCTGTGCCATTGTCCGGCTTAAAGATAGCACTAAATTTGTCAAAGATCGAATGACATGGATCCGGCACGGCTGCTGTGCCAAATTCTGTGACCACAATGCGCTGGGCTGCCCGATTCTTTTGCAACGTCTGCGTGTCCACGAAGCGATTCTGATACGTGACTCTGCCATTTTTGATGGCAAAGCGATGCAGCAGTGCCGAGCAGTCGAACAGGTGGCCAAAGCTCATGTCGCCCACTTTCCAGCTGCCGGGTCCATTGCGCAACAGGCTGCCATTCAGCCAGCCGGGTATGTGACCGCTGGCATGACCCTCAATCGGCTCCACAATCTCTCGCTCGCAGGAACGCAACCAGACATCCGACGAGCAATTGGGATAGTAGCGACCGTTGCCATCCAGGCGCATGGCCTCCGGATCAGCCTTCTGCTCATCATAGTTGACCTGCAGACAAGAGAAGCAATGCATTAGTCAACTATTGATTGACACGATTTTCTATAAGCTGCGTTTCAGCCGCCGATTAATGTGGATTATCTGCACGGGTTTCGCATGCCACTCGCTTAATCAGCTGCAATGATTCCCATCGAGCTCGACCAGCGCGCAGACACGGTTTTCTCTCACACACACTCATAAGCTCGCTTATGAGTTTACACATTTAAAATTGATTTGAAGTTCAAGTATCTTAGTATTTTTTTGGCACACTTTCGGCAAGATACAAATTCAAATTTTTGTGTAAAATTTACAATTGTTATTAAAATAAAATCTAACCGCAAAGAAGTCGCGCATAAAGCTTTTGAAGACGCGTGCGGACATTTTGTAACGGATTTGGCTGGAACGCAAAAGATACCAAAATTGGCAAAACAAACAAAAACGTAAACAAAAACGAAACAAAACCGAAACAAATCTCAAAATCAGGTACACCCTGACAGCAGTCTCTATGCCACTTAAAACAGACGACTTGCAAATAGCGAGCGACCAGCTAGAAAACCAAATGCCAACTGGCATAGTTAGCCAAGCCAGTCGCCGCTCGTCAACTGTTTGAGTGGGGTGGGTGGCCCCTTCTAGGGGCTGTGCAGTGGGGCTGTGGGGGGCAGGCACCCTCTGGCAGCCGGTGTGTGCCGCCAGCATTATTCATAATTTTGATTGACAGCCTCGTCACCAGAGTCGTTCGCCTCGCTTGTAAGCCACACCGAAAAGCCCAAGTAAAGCCAAAACAAAATAGAAACGGGGAAATATACAAATGTGTGTGCATTTTTGCCGCTTCGGCGAGCTAAGAGCGCCTATAGGGCAACTTCTTAAACTAACATTTTATACCGTGCGTAAAGCATTCAAAGAAATTTAATACACTACCCGCAAGCCTAACTGTCTGACCTTGTTAATACGCAATTCTTTAACTTTATTTTTCATACAACTCGAAGAAGCCACAACAAAGCCTAGTAGCCACGCAGTCGAATGGATAGCCACATGATGATCAAGTAAGTTGTGCAATATTCGGTGTCATTTTGGTCCAGCCTAAAGCTGAAGCTAGTATAAATTGCGCATACGACACGTGGCCAGAGCGCACATTGTTTTGGATTTAAGTTCATGATCATTTCAATTAACAAAAAAAAACAGCCAGCAGCTTAGTCTTTAGCTTTAGCAATTGAAATTCATGAAAATGAATTTTCATGAAAATCTCTCGTCAGGTGCATCTCGAGCATTGCCCCAGTTTGGCATATTTTAAATTGATGTCAATTGTCTTAGCTAGCCCAGCTGCAGGCACATTTCATAAATATACAAATCTCGTGCATGTGTGTTACAAATTTGTTGTCATTTAAGAAAATGCACTTAATGTTGTTAAAATAGTAATGGGAAAATCAAAAGCTAATTATTTCCGCATCATGCATTTCGCAATTTGTTATCTTTTAATTTGATTTGTTATCGAAATAATTTTCCAGTTTTTTTTTATTTTTTTGCATTTTTTAAATAATTGCACAATTTTAATGCGCACAATTTATGAAAGTTTGCTCTTAGTTTAATTAAACGTTAAGTCAATTTCCGTTGGTGTTGGAAAACGCTTACGCACAATTAACTGTTGTCCAACACTCCACGCACGCATCAGCTGTTGCCTGACAACAAAAATTAATTAACGGCGCAGCACAGCGCCAAATATAAATAATAGAATAAAAAAAGATAAATACAGATGTGATTTTAAAACCAATTTTTGTCGAACTGCAACAGTGAAAGCCTTTTGAATACCACAAATTTTGCCGAATTCGATAACTCCATCGATTGTTGCGGCGACTACAACTTGGACTCTGTGCCTGCCAGCGGCTGCTACAATCAATACGACGACTCTCCCTGTGAGATGAACCCGCGCCAGAATACAAGCTCCACATATGCTGGCGTCAGTCGAATACCGAGGGGCGCGGCAAGACCGCGTCAAGGCCCGTCGCCGCGTCAAGGTCTATCGCCGCGCAACTATTCATTCGTGCCGGTGTTCCATGAACGCACCAGCAAGGAGGATGACACACTGCTCACCGATAATCTGTGGAAGCTGGCGCGCAAGACGGGCACACTAAATCTGGCCAACAAGGGTATGGCACGAGGTAAGTCATCAAATTTCAATGTTTTACTGCAGTTTTGCAATGTGTGTGTGTGTGTGGGTGTACGTGTAGGTGTAGTGGTTTCGGCAGACCAAATACGTCGCTGGAACTCAATGAAGCAGCCATCGGTAGGCCATTCGGATTTGGCCTGTGATAGATACATGGATAGCAGCGCCTTATGGTTTTTCTATATGTAGATGTGATTGTCAGCGAGATCTCGAACTTGTCCCTGGCTGACCGTAGAAGGTGCCGTGCATATTACACGCCTCACTAGACAGCCGCACGGCTTACATCTGACGCAATCTCGAATTATTGCTGTGTTTGTTGTTTGGCGTTGTTTAGTTTGTGCGTGGCGCTCGTTGGCCACAGAAGTGTCGGTTGTGCCCCTTTTGTTGTGTACGATAAATATCCTTCAAGATTGCGTCCTCGAGGCAAACACGCAAGCAGCTCACATCGTTTTGTATGTGCGGTCCGCATCCACGACGACGACGCTACTATCAGATACGTGAATTTCAAATGGCGTCGTCAGCCGATGAGCTGGAGAGCGAGGATCCCGATGATGAAATTGAACTGGATGATCCAGCGCCCAATCAAGATGCTGCCGCCGCCGCCACCAGTAGAGATGATAAAACATATTCCACAATGATTTCTAATGCTCATCCAACTTCTATTGCAGTTCCCGAACGTTTGTATGACATCAACGAGGCAGATGCGGACAGCAAGAAAGCAAATCTGGAGAAATTGTCCATTAACGAGGCGGACGCCTGGTGGAATCAAATGCCCCTTAACAATCTGGACTTGAGCTCAAATTCCTTGACGAACCTTTCGCCCAAAATTGAGAATCTGATAACGCTCACCGTACTCCAGCTACATGACAATGCTCTGGTCGAGCTACCGCCACAGATTGGCAAGCTGGAGAAGCTGGTGCGCCTAAATCTTAGCCACAATAAGCTAAAGGAATTGCCACCAGACCTGTACAGCCTGCCGGAGCTGCGGCATCTTAATATCTCGCATAATGAATTTGTTGAGCTCAGTCCGGATATTAGCAATCTGCACATGCTGGAGTTTCTGGTAGGTGGCTTCAGTAGTTGTAGCCAATAATGGTTCTGGTTATTAATCTCTAACCTAATCTAATTAATCCCCCGACTTACCCACTGATCCAATTGCTTTGCTAACACGTAATTACACAAGGATGCTGGGAACAATAACATAAGCAGTTTGCCAGGTGGCATTGGGTTTCTGGTGCGTCTAACAGCTCTGCTACTGGCCAATAATCATATCAAGGAACTGCCATCCGATATTGTCTATATGCGCTGTAAGTTAGCGATATTTAATTTGGCTAATGCCGTAGTAATTGCTCCCGGATTAAGCTCTTCAAAAGCTGGATCTTATAAAGAACGATCTGATTGGCCTGCCCGAGGACATGGGTCTCTTGCGTAAGCTGCAATGCCTATACATCCAGCACAATGACATTAAGGAGCTGCCCAGCTTCGAGGGCAACGAAATGCTAAACGAACTGCACGCCAGCAATAACTATATAGAAGTGAGTGATCAAGCGACTATGTATTTATAAATTAGTTATTCATCCAAGTCCTTGCAGCAAGTGCCAAAGCAACTTTGCGCCAATTTACCACATTTGAAGATCTTCGATTTGCGCGACAACAAAATTAAGCAGCTGCCCGATGAGATCTGCCTGATGCGCAATCTGAATCGCCTGGATGTCACAAACAATTCCATCAGCGTGCTGCCCGTCACGTTGTCCTCGCTGGCACACTTGATTAGCCTGCAGGTGGATGGCAATCCCATTAAAACCATACGACGCGACATTCTGCAATGCGGCACAGCGCGCATTTTGAAAACTCTGCAAGATCGCGCCCAGACCAAGGACAGAGTGGGTGGCGGTGCCGAAGATTTGCCATGCAGCAGTTCCGCTGCTGGTAGTGACCAGTCTATGCAGCAGCAACTGCCTGCCAACATGACCGACAAGTAAGTCATTGCTCAATGGGAGCGCTTTTCCTTTACCAGGCATTGATCCAACGACGCAGCAGCTATCAGCAGCACAACTGTGCGCAGCCGCCATTCAGGCACTGCCATTGTCGATGCCAATGTCAGCACTTTATGCACCCGGAGCAGCTTTGTGGCTTCTACTATCAGCAATTTCCAGAAAAATATGAACAGGGGCAGCAGCAGCAGCAGCAACATCATCAGCAGCACCTAGATCAGTTTCAGTTTGGTCAAGCGAGTCAATATTCCCCACAGCAACAACAGCTACTTTACCGGGAACCCTATGGCGGGCATTATATGGACAATTACTCAGCCATGCCAGAAACGCAAATGGATGCATATAATCCGTACAATCGTTGTGTGGTGCAACCCCGTTGGGTGTAGTGTATCACCAAGTTACAATAGCTTTGTTATACCTTTGCAGAACAGATTCTAGTTTTCATTTATACAAGCACATCTTCAAAAGAAGAGTTTATATATCCTTTATTCTTAATTTGAATCATTTATAATAATGCTTAATGTCTTTGTAGAAAGTCTCTCAGCTGACAATCCGCTTAATAATTGATTTTACCTTAGGAAAAGTTAACATTCATCTTCATTCCATATACCATATATGCCAGTGGCATTGATGTAACTATGTCTCTATGTCTGCAAGGCTATATAATCTTCGATTCTGCGAAGATGAATCAACTCTTCCATTAAGTTTGCGACTAACACGTCTTACCCATTCCTATATTGTGTCTTACAGATACAAACTGCGTCATACACGCACCTTAGCTGTCAATTCACAGGGGCTTTCTGATGTGCCCGCCCACATCTTCAAGGTGGCCAGCGAGGAGAAAGTGCATGTGGTGGACTTTGCGCGCAATCAACTAAGTACCCTGCCCAAGGGGTAAGCATGCCTAATTGCACACTGTTCTACACTAGACTACAAACTATTATTGCTCAGTTTGCAGCACATGTCCAATCTGGTGACGGAGCTGGTCTTGGCCCACAACGTTATTAACTGTGTGCCGCCTTTTATATCGCAATTCACGCGCATAACACTTCTAAATTTGTCCAACAATTTGATCAAGGACTTGCCACAAGAGTTTGGGTTGCTCAACACGCTGCGTGAACTGAACATTGCCAACAATCGGTAGCTAATGTCATGTGATTTGTTTTAATTACGAAACTAATGTTAGGCATATTTACAGCTTTCAGGCATTGCCAAATGGCTTGTATGAGCTTCAGGGTCTGGAAATTCTAGTTGCCAGCGGCAATCAGATTAAGGCCCTTAATGTGGCTGGATTGCAAAACTTGCCACGTTTGAACACGCTCGATTTGCGCGATAATAATATTGAATATATACCGCCCATACTAGGCAATCTAACAAATATTACGTGAGTAGGATAAATTAACTCTTGTTTTTTCAATTATCTGGTGTATATGCTCGTCTCATATTGGATTTTATGTTGCAGTCACTTGGAGCTGGTGGGCAATCCGTTCCGTCAGCCGCGCCATCAAATTCTGATGAAAGGCACAGACACCATTATGTCCTATCTACGTGATCGCATACCCACTTGAAGTGCCCGCCGCAACAGCAGCAGCAGCAACACAAGCAAACAACAACAGCACAATACACATCATTTATTTTATTAATTTATATTGTTTAGCACATGTGCTAAGCGCTGATTTATTTTGTTATTGTTGTGTTGAGATTGAGACAAAAGCTAAACCAAATTAAGGCAGCGCCCACACACACACATACACACGCGCATTAGGTGTGCTTGTGTGTGCGTGTGTGTGTGGGCGTTAAAAGCGCGTAGTACCTTGTAGCATTTAACCATGAACACCCTGTAATACACACGTACACAAGTGAACTAGTCAGCATTTGGGTAGCACACACGAATACACACACACACACACTCACACATAAGACGCACTCTGTTATAAATTTGGCCGAAAAGCTTGCAACAAAAAAAATTAAAAAAATAAATAAAAACTAAACACAATATAATTATGATAACTTCTTCTTACACTCAATTGTGTTCCACGACTTCACTGCGCAGCCTTTTGGCCAGCGTACGTCGCAGCTGCAGCGCCGCATTATCCGCCTCATCCACTGCTTCGGGCGGCTTGCCCAGCTCCACATTCTCGAGCAGTTGCTGTGCCACCTGCGCTGAGCTGGGTCGTGCACCTGGTTCCAGCGGCTGCTGTGGCGTGTTGCGTGCCACCGTCTCCTGCAGCTGCTTGGCACGCGTTTGCTTTTTGATCTCCACGATCTTGTCGCGCTGCTGGCGCAAATATTGTTGGCGCGAGATTATCTCATTGGGATCCACCTGATCCTCCTGCTCGAAAAACAGATTCAGACGCTGAAACTTATCGTTGACCAGCCCCAAATTGGCATCCTGCTCAGGCGTTAAAGCAGCCTCTGGACTCTCTAGCTCATTGGTCACCGTTTTGGCTATCAGTTCATCCACATCCAAGTCAGCCACTCCATTGCTGGTAAGGATAATCAGATAAGCATTACATGAAATATATCACTTAATATACATACCTTCCCTCTGCGCCTGCTGGGGTCTCTGCTTCCCCCAGCTCTGCAGAAGCAGTGCGCGCCAATTGATGCTTCTCAATGAGATCCAACGCCTGCAGCTGCAGCTCCACATTACGTTGGGTCATCATGCGTATAAAGATCTTCAAATCATTTGCAGCCCAGATCTAAAATTTCAATAATTAACATAACATTTGAATGGAGTTGGCCACTAAGACTCACCTGCTGAAAGAGCACCTGATGAAACTGAAATGGATTCTCGCCCGGACCCTGCTGACGGCCCTCAAGGCAGGCCAGCTCGAACTGCTCCGGTGTTATGTGCATCTCCTCCATGAAGCTGCCCAGCATAAAGTCCACCAGATTCTTGTACTCCTCATGGATTTGACGTATATCCTCATTGTTCTCATCCAGCTGCAAGTTGGGATCAAAGACTGCAGCCACGAAAGTTTTTAATCCATGACGTGGCCGAAACTTTTGTTTTTTATCGGTCTCTTACCCAAGGACTTCTGCTCGATAAATGTCTGCAGCGGAGCATTCCAGACGGGTCCATGGAGAAAGCAGACCAGCGAATCAAATACCCAAGAATCTTCAGCGGCCATATTCACGGAACGAGCGCTACGCAATGACCGTAAAAATCAAATCGTTCCAAAATTCAAGCTAAAATGTCGTCAGCTTGGGCGTAATGTTTGGCTCCTTGCATTGGTTGCCAGGACAACTAGCTCCGCCCACTCCAGGCCCACACCCATAGAAAAAAAGACAAACTTGATGAAAGTTTTTTGCAATTGATGTTTTTGTATTTTTTTTGTTGTTTTTTGTTTGTTTAAAAACTATTAAAAACTATGATTTTTAATTATACTCAATCATAATATAGAGATGTTTCAAATTATATATGTATGTATGTATCGTATGTTAGGTATCGTGTATGTGTGTGAATGGGAGTGTGGGTGTGAGTGTGAGTTAGGATTAGAGGGTATTAGACAGCATATCATATACAAATACACATTTGTTTATATATAAATACTATGTCATAAACTATAGTTTGTTTTGTATTTTTGCAAAAATTTCTCGTTATTTACGTTTATTGTTGCAGTTCAGTTGAAACAAACAAAAACAACAACATGGAAGGATATATTTATATTTCTTCTTATTCATCTTTGTTTTATATATGTAATATGTACGTAAGTTCTTAGAGGGGGAAGGAAGGAGGGAAAGGTGTTCGGTGTTCAGCTGCTCCAAAGCAAAAAAGGAAACCATTTCACGTCTTATGCTTTCTTTAGTTGTTTTTGTTTATAAAAGTAAGCACTAAAATAAATATTTCTGTAAAAGCTGCTCACAAATGGCAAATACAATACAATTATTAACAAATAACTTGATTGTGTGTTGTGTATATTGTTGTTGTTGTTGTTGGCGCTTCTTTAACTATATTTGTTATATAAAAGTATCTTTAGGCTAAAACAAAAAAAATTAACTTACATGGAAAAACGCAAGAAGACTTTTCTGGTAGTTTTTTTCTTTGTTTTTTGTTTGTTTATGAATATTATTTAAACCCATTTTTAACTCTATTTTGTAATTATCATTATTTGTTGTAAATTATATGTGTGTGAGTGTGTGTTGAATGCAATTTGTGGCGCAGCATTTAAATTGTTCTTAACAAATTTATAAACGGTTTTAGAATAGAAAAACAAAATCCCCCCTTTAGCAATATATCCTTAGTCCTTTTTTCATTTTTTGTTGCTCTGCTATTTTACAAATTCTTGCGCCTGTCAACCATATGCAAGTGTTCACTTTTTATAAGTAGCTTGTAATTCGATATATATGGGCATAACGCTAAATTATATACAAGGTTTATTCATTTATCCAGTTCGTATTGTTAAATAGGGCATTTTACAATATATATGGCTTAACTATGAATGCACAAAACAAGATTTGTTTAGTTGGCTGCCGTTTGTGGGCACTCAAAAGGCAATTCGTTTACATAAAGTATATATAAAATAAATTTAGCTCGTATTTTCAATAATATTTTGACCTACATGGATCAAAAAATGTGGAAATACAAATTATTTATAAAGTGTACAATTAACAATAAAATAAGCAAAATTAAATCACTGAATGACAATTGAAGCAAAAATGAATTTTCAAGTTTCCTTTCTAATTTAACAGCAGTTCGCCTTGTAATACCCTAACATCAGATGCTTACTATATGTTAGTTATGTAGAGCAACATGACTTCAGCTTCACATGTATTAGCTTTGTAATAACATATTTTATATCTGGTAGCTAAGGTAACAATGTAAGAGCTTCTGGCTAATATCTTTTGATTATTTTATAACTTAACATTTCTTCCTTAACATATGTTAGTTATAGAAAACCAATAGCTTTACTCAACAACTGTTAGGGTTGTATCAGTATTACAAGCTTGTGCTTAACATATGTTATGTAATTACATTTACAACTTAAAGAAAGGATACAATTGGAATTGCAATTGCTTTCGTAATACCCACAACTTATGATATTGCACTGAAAAAAATGTAGACAATCTTCTGCACAAGATCAGCCAACTAAACAAGATTGTTTTTGGTTTTAGGGGTTGTTTATCTGTGAGCTTCTGTTGAGCGACTGCGTACTAGGACAACTCAAGCACCGAACGTCAAACACTCTTCTCGCTGTTTTGCGCTGCCTTTCTTGTTATTTTAGTTGTATTTTTAACATCTAAACGTATATTTATTTTGGTTTCTTTTTATGTCGTTTTTTGTTTACTTTGTTTTAAGCACTCAAACATTACGCACACAACTGCAAAAAAACGTATATTGGTTGTCGTTTCTCACGATCAATTAGTGTGTTTTGTTTTTGTGTGCACATATAATCTATAATTTATATTCATTTTTAAATATATATATATATATATATATATATATATATATATATATATATATATATATATATATATATATATATATATATATATATATATATATATATATATATATATATGTATTTATATATATTACTTGATTTTTGTGTTTTTTTTTGTTTTAATTTAGTAAAGTAAGATTTTATAATTTCTTGTTTTACTTTTTAGTTTTATCTTTAAAATAAATGTTTTATGCTAAAATTTAACTTTCGCTTGTTCTTCTTACATGATTGCATACAAGCAAAACTCCCCCATCATGTCAAAGCGCCCCGAACTCTGACGGGTATCATAATTGTTCCTTGTTCTTGTTCGATCTTACATCGTACCGCTCTCTCAGTTTGGCTTACAATTTGCTGCAGCTCTTTTGTTGTGTTATTGTTTAGCCCACTTTTCAACCCTTCCATTCGTTGATGAGTGAGTATACGTGTGTGTGTGTGTATATATGAGAAGTAGGTGTGAGTGTGTGTACTATTTTATAATTGATGCCGCCTGATGTCCCCTAACTATGCAATACGCGCGCGCTTTTGTGCTTGGGGCCCATCCGTGTCCTCTTCTTCCTCATAATCATCCTCACCAGAATCGCTTTCATAGTCCACCAGACCCTTTAAAAATAAAAATAACATTGAGAGCTTATAATTTGGCTAATCATATTGTTCTTTCACGGTTACCTTTTTGGTCGCCTTATCGGCGTCAATGCCCGTTGGCGATTCCGCGCTAAGCGCCGTTTTGTCCTCATCCAACTTAAGTGCTTCGCTGGCATCTGTGGGGGGTGACTGGATCTGCGACTCGCTGCTGTCCTCGGTGACCACAGCTGTCGCTAGATTGGGCGTGCTGACTGCTGCCGTTACCGAAGCAGCCATGGCTGTTGCAATCGTTGATAAAAATTGAGACGCTGCCACAGCTACCACTGTCGCCGAATCGCACAGCGCAGTACCTGGCGAAGATGTTGGCGATGTTGACGATGTGGACGTTTCCATTGGTGACGTGGATGACGCTGATAAAGCCGTAGACAACGATGACGGGGAACCACTTGATGCAACTGACTGCGCCAGCTCCGAGTTCTGTGGTACCACAGCGTTCAACTGTTGCTGTAGCTCCGCAATCTCAGATTGAGTCTGCTGGGGCTGCTGCTGTTGGCTTTCAAGTTGCGCCGCAGCGGCTGCGTTCGATGTGGAGGCCACGGCAGCTGCAGCGGCTGCTGCCACAAGTGTGCTATTCAAGGACAACGTTGACTGTTGCTGGAATGAATGCTGCTGCTGCTGCTGTTGCTGCTGTTGTTGTTGTTGCTGTTGCTGCTGCTGCAGTGCAATATTGGCAGCGGCGGCTAACTGAACTGCGGCTTGGGCCTGCTCGTCGGCGGCGCTCGTCGCCTCGGGGCTACTGCCTCCACTTGCCGTCGGCACTGATACTGAGGTGGCAGTTGCAGTCGCTGTGGAATTAAGATTGCCCAATAGACCGACGCTATGTGGCGACGTGCTGTGCGGCGGTGATGATTTTTGCTGTTGCGACTGATTTTGCGTTTGCTGGGGGCCATTTTTTTCGCTGACAGCTATATGACAGATGAAGAAATCAGTCATAATTCTCAACTTATCTCCATAATTTACTTACATTTCATCACATTATTATAGGTGTCAATTTCCTCGGAAAAATCATCATCATCATTGAACCACAGCTCCTCCTCCTCCTCCATTTGACGCTGATCGCGACGAAAACGACTACCGCTGCGTATCATAGCCAAGCTTCTAATAAAAATAATACCGAAGTTGAAACAAAAATGTTTTATTTATGTAGTTACACTAATGTTATTTACCCATCTGTACGATTTTCCAACTTGTCGCGATCCTTGAGCCGATCCTGGTACTGATCATAACGATTCTTTAGGTATTTAAATGTTTGCACATATTCGATTTCATCAAATATCTTGCTAAAGTTTTCCACGAAGTATACGCACAGCGTGCGTATATCTTCGAGTTTTATAAACTCGAATAATTCCAGTATGGCCGACTCGAGCAGATTATAGCGACCATTGTTACGAATAAAAGCATCCACCACAGGAGCAAATAAATTGCACTTGACAATGTGTCTAAAGCCGTACAAATTTATAATAAACATAAATATATTAAATAATTATAATTTAAAACTCTTTAATTATACTCACCTGTTGTAGAACTCATCTTTGAGTGCAATTATCTTGCGTAGCAGCCGCAGGGCCCCAAGTACAAGGAACGTATGCGTGCTCTTCATTAGCACTAGAATTCGTTTCAGGAGATCTTTTTGCAACAAAAAATTCTTAATATGATAGCTATGATGTTCCACGCAAAATGACAAAATGTCCAGCACTATGCCCAACAGCTGTGCAGTCTGATAATCCTCATTCTGTGGACGATCGCCCATTGTATTGAGCATTAGTGGCGCTGTTTAATAAACATATTTAATTAAAAAACTTGCTCTTTTACTGAAATGCTTATCGAACATTTACCAACTAGCGTTTGGACACTGTACTTGTAGAAGAAGTTCAGAAAATCCCCCTTCTCAGTCAACATATTTTCCGGTTCAAGCAGGATCTTAATAATACCCATCAACTGCACCGCTATGCCCAGCTCTGGTTCCGAATCATTCAGCATCTGTTCAATGGAAATGTTCAGCAACATTCTCTCCTAAAATATATCAAATTAAAACAAAACCACTGATCAGCTAACATAACTAACATTTATAAACAGATTTCACTTACACTCTCCGGTCGATTCGCCTGATTTAGAGTGTAATTGCGCACCACCAACGGCGAAAACTCCACAATGGCCGTAAGTATATCGATAGAAGCCGACTTAGTCTTAGTATCGTTCATAACCAACGTCAGCTCAAGAGCTTGCAATACTCCCAGGCAGGTAAGTGTTTTGTAGAATGAATCCTTGCCCTGGGGTTGCAAATTTTGGGCAAAATTGCAGAACTCTTTCAGAAACAGAACGATATCCCGTCGTTTTGTATCGTTAGTTGCTGGATCCGTGAGCAGTGTAAATAGATCGAGCAGAAAACGTTCATCTTCCTGTATGAGCGTAACAATCTCAACTTTGTTGAAGAATATAAAACTGGATAAGGTATTTAGCATATTATCCTCAACAAAGACTGACGGTGTGGGCAATATAATATCCTGAATATACTGCACCCGAAACGTTTGATGAATTTTGGCTAATAGATCCATATTCTTGATCGGCACAGCTTCTCGAAATTTTGCCAATTGCTTGAGATACTGTCGATGCTTTTTGGGCTGTGCAACCGTCGGATCGTATTCCAGGCAGCCAACCACATCAAAAATAGTATCTTCCGCAAACATTATCTCGAAAAGAGCATTTTTGTTTAGCAAGAAAATGTTCTTAAATATTTCAAAAAGATGATGCAACCCTTCCGTATTGTCGAGATCCTCGCAAACGCGAAACAGATTCAAAAGCTTCTTAATGTAGTTCTCCGATTCTAGGGCCACGGACAATTTCTCCTTACGCAACGGCGTGGAAAGGCAACTTTGTATTGTCTCAGATATGTCCTCGAGTCGTGAGAGTTCACACGGCGGTAGCTCGATTGGCGGTGCTGTGTCTGACATGTCCTCAAAGCGCTCATCCTCTGACTCCTCAACGATATCCTGCGTTATCTCGACCGATGGATCTTTGCCCTGCACCTGTATAGAGCAATAACATATACCGAATGTTAGTCATCTAAAAGAATGCAAATTAAGAGATTAGTAAATACCTGACATATCTTCTCCCATATCTCATCACAACCGGCTTTCTCCTGAAAGCTCAGCGCCAGATCAAAGTTATCGCCCTCTGACCAGACAATGAGCGTATCCTGTTGCTTCTGGTAGGCCGTATCCGGCTGTATCTTACTCTCCAACAATAAGGAACCATCTGATTCAGCACGCACAAGCAGCGACGTACCTTTGAGACGCTCCACATATGTGGAGGAGACGTGGCCAGTGCCACGATCATCCCATTGCCGTTCTGCATTCAGTGCATAGAGCTTAACACGTCGGCGGGTGTCAGTCGTCATGGTATGGCTTTAGGTTTATCTGTGTCCTCTCCTTCTTTTTTGTTTTTCTTGTAATGGTGTTTCACAAAATGTATGTTAATAACTTCTATCAGCTGAGCCTTTAATCGTTGGTGGCTTGTAGCCGCGCTTGGGCTAGTCAACTAGACTAATTACAATTAAATTAGGATCTTGAATTTTAAATTCAAAGCATTCAACTAATCTCTAATCTTGACTTGCATATCCATGTTATGTTGTTATGCTGTGATCTGTGGTCTGCGCACGGCAAAACTGCAAAACAAATTAGAGAACAAAAATAAACAATCATTTTATTGTACTTATTTAAATTGTTAAAATTAACTCGAAACATTCGTAGCTTAGATTTCAAATGTTGCGTCATTTAACTGAATATATCGATATATTTCGAAATGTATCTTCATACATATTTTCACTTATATTCAATCGATTTGATTATATATATCTCACTTTTTTTGTTTTACAACACTAATTGAAAAGCATAATGAGTAATCCCATACAACTGCATATTTATTATTTTCATACAAGCACAATTACGATAACAACAAATGCGTATCAAAACAGAAGCTGCGAAAAGCGGACAGCATGAATGAAATTGTGAAAGCTTCGTTTTATGTTTATGCATGTGCATACATGTGTGTGAGCATACATACACGTGCATATGTCAATGTATGTGCAGAGAAATACAAACTATTCGTAAAACGAAATGCCAAAAACTATTTTTTGCCCACTCTGTTTACAAACAAAAAAACGGTGCTAGTCGAAAGTATTCGACTAAAAGATACCGTGTACTCAGTTCTATGTTGGCTTAAGAGAGTGAGTAGGTCAACAAGTGAGAGAGTGACGAAATTGAAAGTAATAAAAAGCAAGGGTAAAGAGAAATTGAAAAAATCACAGAGAGAGAGAGAGAGAGAGAGAGAGAGAGAGAGAGAGAGAGAGAGAGAGAGAGAGAGAGAGAGAGAAAGACAATGACCAATAAATCGCAAACGTTAGCTGTTTATAATTTAATGGTCTTTTCCTTGTTATATGAACTTAATAATGCCTTTTATACATTTTATAAGACTATTGAGTATTTAATTCAATTTTTTCAAATCTCTCCACAACACACTATCGTTTGTTATTGTGCGCCTGTAAATCCGTGTGTATGCGTGTTTTCTGATGTCTACACATTGCAAACTATTATCGCGCTTTCGCCAAAGCGACCCACAACGACGGCGAGTACAAACACGCGCTCGACAAAAACAAACACAAAATGAGTGGTCAGAACCCGAAGGAGAGCGAAAGAGAGAAAATGAGAGAATGACTGCCAGCAATACATTTAACTTGTCTATGTATGTAGCAAGTGGGTGGCGGCCGGCTAGCGGGGTAAATTCGCGGCGACAAGATTAGATTATCAAACGCACACACACTCACACTCATACACACACACACAAAGAAACGCTGTTGCTACAACGTAAAACGTACGACGTACGCACAAGGCAACAAAAATCAATGAGCAAGTGTAAAAAAAATGTGTGTAAACAGAACAGATATTTAGCTCATAGCAATAAAAGAGACAAGGTCTACGTCATCGATAGAGAAAACCGAGGAAATCCACCTTTGTCTAAAAAACTTTTCAATACAATTTGCAGTGCGTGTTGAGTGTTCTGCAGCACACATGCATACCTTGCACATATACAGATATACACATGCATACATACATGCTTATAATTATTAATAATAACGATGTTAATATGTAGGTATATTATATAAATTTATTTGAAAATTTCGACATTTGCATTATGGCGCCCCTCACCGGCCTCGTTGATAAGAGGCACTCTAATCTACGATTATATTCCGCCTCACGCGAATGTGTACCAAAACAAAAGCACCAATTAGCAAGCACTAATACATAATGGGCATTTACGCAACCAACGCAATTGTTTTCAAATTCATTGAAAGGGTTCAAAATAAATACACACACACGCATAAACATGCAAATACGTACATACATAAATGCAATTAGGTTCAATGTCTCTGAAAGCTATGTGGGCGACCAATTCGACAAGGATCAACATGCAAATTGGTCAACGGCGATAATTGCCACATGCTTCATCGAAAAAGAGGCACGAAAAGAAGGAAAAAAACTCATTTGTCGCCCAGCAACAAAGTTCAAGCTAAAGTAAAGCCCAGCTGCTGAGAGCGCTTATTGAAATGGGAGCGGGAGAGCGTCCGTTGATGTCGCTGTCAAAAAAGTAAAAAGGCAAACACAATGGCAATAAAACCAAATGAAAAATATTGACGCTGCCTGCAAGTGCCACAAAAAAGGGGCGAGGCTGGGGGCGTAAGATATGCATGTGGGAATGTGTGTGTGCGCGAGTGTGATGCGTGCGCGCAAACGAAACAGGAAAAAAATACATAAGCCAAAAAGAAACAGGACAATGGCAATACGCATCAGTCTGTATGCATGTATGTGCGATGGATCTCACACAATGAATGGCCCGCAAAAGCTGGTAAAAAACGAACGCGTCGTATCTCGTCTGATGCAGAATACGCGCGCATATGAATGTGTATGTGACTATGTTTTGCATTCCCATTTTGGGGTGGGCAAAAAAAGGTACCATGAATCTCACTGTAAATATGTACATCTTTTTTCATAAATGTCCCGTTTTTGGTAATTCGAAAAAATTTGACGGGCATTTACGGAAACATTTTTTGCTTTCGACATTCAATTTTTAAAATGTTCGAATACGAAAACACGTACAAACGCATACACACACAACTCCACATCAGCCGTCCAGTGAGTACATCGTTTTTCTGTCCGTTTCTTTTCCTTTCATTCAGTAAATTATTGCGAATGACAAACACAAAACAGAATTTCAAAAAATTGCAGCGTATATCTGGCAAAGAGCATGGCTAAAGAAAAATGCCGTCTACGCTCGCACTTTTTCACACACTCACACACACACAACCACAAACACTCACGGAAACACACAACGTCTCGGTCAAATTGAATGACGCATGCATTATTCGCAAAGATTTTGTTTTGATTTTGCGCTAGCCCCGATTTCATTTGTCAAATATTGCATTAACGGTAAACGTTTAAGATTTAATTAAACGCACACAAGATATATAAAAACAACGGGTACACACCACAAAACTACACAGGGCCGTCACGTACACACTGAAACAGAGAAATACGGCGAGCGCAAAATCCACCACATGTAACAGCGGCAATCTTCGAATTCAACACACTACAATAGAAGAACCAAAAACTCAACACAACGAACGTTTTGTTGCATAAAGTTCGAGTTCGTATCCATAAACGAAAACAATTTACCACCAAATGTGCAATATTCATGTAGACGCACCACTCATCTAAAGTTTATAGACTTTAATATTTTACGAACGCGTTAAATACTCGTACTGAGAAGAACATAAGAGTATAGTTACACACGAAAAACACACATGCACACCTAAACGCACATACACACACACACGCACACAAGCTCAGTCACAGAAGCCGCAAGAGGGCAACAGCGGTGTAAGCGAAAGCGCGAGGGGTAATATTGAATCTTGACCAAAAAATGTATGCACTCACGTTGCAATTCCTTGTTTATGCTACTGGCAGCGCCTTTTTACAATCATTCAAAGTATATACAATTTGCGTTTGCGCATATTTACTGTTTCCAACACCTTATTTATCATATATTTGCGATTCAACTCTTAGTTTAAATTTTTTCGCGGAACGGACGCTGTTCCAACCGAGACGACGACGATTTTGTGCTGTGCCGACGCCATATTGTATTTTGTGTACATCGATACCGCAATCGATATGCATTTACTTATCGATGCACAAATGTAAACAAAAGTATGACCATTTTTTTTAACAGTGCTGCACAATAATAGCCGTAAGTGTTGCGAGGCGACGTTTGACGAATATTATTTATTTATTGCATCGATCAGATTTTCAATGGAGCCGAGTCGGCATAAATATTTTAGCATAGCAGCCAAATATAAAGGGAGCTTAGTGGAAGACCTAGAGCTTACTGTTCAGAAATATGGCGACGATGTTGTTCGTATACAGTTATTAAACCGCATGCATGGCCAACAATGTGGAGTTCAACTGAAGCGATTTTGTGTGCTATTCGGCTTGGCGATTACTTATTTTGCCTTTGCTCTGATGTTGAGCGAAGGCTCAGTCAGATTTAGCCAGGCACACATTCTATATCCAACCATACTATGGCTAGCTATGTCCATCCTAATATTCCGCAACACACTCCAGTTGGTTCACTCTGAGAAACTCTTCTACAGCTGGGACATGGCTCTGCAAACGGAAACAGTCCGAACTTTTGGACGTCAATCGGTGCTCTGCGTACAACGCGGCCATCTCCATGATATGGTTCTCAATGAGGTCATAGAGAATGTGGGTCACCTTACATTTAAATTAATAGGCATATTTATTTAAATTGATTTTCTTTCATTTGCAGCTAGATATAAAGTATATGCTCATATTGCGTACCAAGGGCAGCATATTCAAAGAGCGACCCATAATACCCCTATTCAATGTGAGTTTTTGCGAGGATTGATTCCATAATTAACTTTGACTCAATAAACTATGTATTTCTATTTAAAGAGTCTTTCGCCATCCTTCGAGTGTTTGCAGCATATTCAACACATTTTGCATGGTTATTGGCTGAATAACAATAAAGGTAGATTGGATCAGTCTTGCAATAGGGATATACCTTCTTCGGCTGCATCGTAAAGCTCCATCAGTTTATCCAGCTATAATTAAAATACATTTCATAACTTAATTTCACCAAAGACTAATTATATGTATTTACGTTTAGCATCGGTGTGTATTCTTCAGGCTCTTTATTCTGCGGAGGCAATTTGGGTATATTTAATTGAACATCAACTCGTTGGAAATCTCCGCGAATCTGCAAAAATATAATATTTATATATATATATATATATCTATATATACTTGTGTTTCTTATTTCCTTTACCAAATTGTTGAGGTCCGTTGTGTACGCATGTTTTGCCATTTTTGAATAAAATTCCAGGTAGACAGATTTGCTGAAAATTAGATCATCCTGTGCCTTGCGCAGTACATGTACTTGCTGCAGCGATAACTCTGCATAAGCATATTGCATAAATCGTTTTTAATTAATGTATTTTATGTGTCGCTTCACTTACTTTCCATGTCGGTTTTGTTTTTCTCTGGCGTCTCCTTTTTCGAATATCTGCCAGTACTGTAAATCGATAAGTTCTTTGTACAAGTTAACAACACTGATTCGCCAGCTGACGTCACTTACGCATCAAAATAAACAAGACTGTTTTTATTTTTGTTTATGTCCACTTGTTGTAGTTTAAATTCTGTATTCGCAAATCACACAAATAGTTTATAACTATATATTTTTTATATTTTGATTATAATTTGAGGTGTTCATATATATTTCGATTTATTTTCTTTTATTAAATTTATATTTTATTTTGGTGTTGAGTTTTCAAATGCTTGAAAGTGCTGTAAAACGATGTTTTGTGTGGGTGAATAGCACTTTCTAGTCAGCTGACGTCATTTGCCCATAAAAATAAACAATATTGCCGTTTGTTTATGTGCCAATTTAAAGTTTCGTGAATGATCATATAAACCCTATAACACTGGCTCAGCCCTGGCCCTTTAAGCCGAACAGACAAATCTGAAACTAAAATGCAAAGAAGCTGAAGGAGTCCTTACTTTATTTTCGAATAAAATAATTGAAATTGTAAGTCGAGTCATTCGTTAGCTAAAAATACGCACTCATATGGGTGTGTCAGTGGACAGCACATGGTCAAAGCATTTACCTAATGTGTATGATTTAACCTGTTTCAGTTTCCTCATTTCGTGACCTTCGACTTACCATGAACCGTTCGGATTCCATACCCATACGGCGTGATCGCTCTTTTGACAGCGTTCTCAATCGTTTGCTACGGATGCGCTCACAAAATCATGAAAGCTTTCGCGCCGCCATGTACAATTTTCTAATTGCAGCGGGCGTGGCTGCTTTTGTTGCTGTTTGCTTCATTCTTGGTCCCTTTGTACGACCGCTGCTCTGGGCCTTCCTCATGGGCGCCGTCCTGTTTCCATTTAAACGTAAGCTGGCCGAGTTGCTAAACAATTGGTTTCAGCGTTTAGAGGAGCGAGATTCAAATGTGCTCGTCTCAATTTTTCTGGCGCCGCTGGAGGCCACCGAGCATTGCGGTCGTTTGCTAATCAACTGGCTCTGCGAACATTGGCAGTTGCTTTCATCCGGCTGCGGCGTCGCCATCTGCATAAAGCTGCTCGTTTTGTATGCGCCCAGCGGATTCTTAATGGCCCTCTGGCACTGGATAACCTTCTCGCATGGCTTGTTTGTGACCATCATTGGCTTCCTCAATGTATACGTGGTAAGTGCCTTAACGCATGGCATAAATTTTCTCCCTGACTTCTATCCACACTTCACTTGCAGCTCATCACTTTAATTGTCATCTACTTGTCGTCCGTGCACTTCTTCTGGAAGCCGGAGAACAGCGCGCATTTTGTGGTTGCCGGCCAGTCCATGTGGATAGCCATTGCCAGCTATTTGTGTAGTTTTCTGGGCGCAATTCAGGTGCCGGCCCTGCTGCTGGTCATGTGCTACGTTATTGTGTCCACAGGGTATCATCTGCAGACGAATCATGATCATGATTCGAGCTCCTTTTTGGATCGCCTGCAGAAGCTTTTTGATCGAAATGATTTTGAGAAATCCCTCAGCATTAGTCGCAAACCTGCTGGCGAACCGACACTACAATCCGACGTAGAAGATATCTCTTTAAGCGATACCGTAGATTCCGAAGATACATTTGATGCAAAGCCAGCCGAGGAGACTGTTGGACATCAAAGCGATACATACTTTAAGCTGTTGTTCTATGCTTGCCTCGGCACCTTTTTGTATCGCAATATTTGGATGTTCATCCTGGCTGCGGTGCCAGTGTTTCTACATCTACTTTATACTGCCAGCAGCTATACGGGGATAACCCAGTTTGTGTGCAACAAGATCAACGATGCTTACCACGCTTTGAAAGTAAGTTCTTTGATTATATATTCAAATATATATCTACTGGATTTAACTCTAATACATTACAGGGTTGGGCTTTGGATCATCATTCAGCTGTGCTGCCTCTGTGTCTGCCTGGCGTGTTGGAGCTTAACTACAAGATCAACTGCATTGTCCGAGATTCATTGAAATCATCTGTAGAGTCAGTCACATCCATTCTAATGATCATACTCATGCTGCTCATAATCATATTTCTGAGTGTGTTCTTTTGCGTAAACATCTACTCAGAGACTATTGAGGTCGCATACCTGGGCAAAGATCTAATTAACAAGACAATCACAGATCGTCCTGAGCTAATTGATATTTTGCCAGCCAATATACAAGCGTCCATTGATGATGCGCTCGATAATGCGCATCATTATGGCCGCCGTAAGATTGAGACCTATATTGATGATTGGTTAGCCGATGCGGATAAGGTGCATGCCACCAAGTTGAAAGAGCAAATCCTCGATGTCTGGGATAGACTCATACAGTATTGGATTGATTTCAATAAGGCGGGCACATCATATGGGCCGCGTGTACCAACGGACGCGCTAAAGAGCACCTTCGGCGAGATAGTCGATAATCCAGGTAAGTGTCAACGATGCGGTTTTGGTGTCCTTTTTTGTCTGTTATCATTTGTCCAGCGTTTATGTTTTGAGTTTTTGAATATAGCGCTGCGCTAATTATTTATTATAGAGCTTCCTTGAACAGCACAGTTTGGCCCTAACACCCATCCCGTATTATTTTTTCGTATGCGTCAAAACAAATAACTCATTACATGTTGCCTTTGCTAACCCATGGTATTTTACTTTAACCAAGGACATTTTAAAGAGCTAGTTTTAGTGGCTAAACAGGGCATCATTGGCTGGGCGCAAAGCAATACTCAAACGATATTGGAGGTCGCTGAATCCCTATGGCATATCATACGCACGAATCTCTCGATGATAATGGGCGTGACTGGTGAGATACTGTCGCTGCTGCTGTCGGGCGGACAGGCGTGTATAGAATTCATATTGGATATGGTGAGCATTATGAAGAGGATAGAAAAAACTCGCTTGAGCCGACATTCATCTGGCGAGGATTGCAACAGGAATAGATGATGTTTGCTCAAGGGAACTGTTGGCTTCTCTTAGATTGATACATCTTGCATATTAACATACATCCTTTTCCAGATTGTCTTCTTCACTGCCTTGTTCTATCTGCTGTCCAGCAGCCAGGAGAAATATGCACCCATGCAGATCACCAAATATATGGGATATTCTACATCGGGCATTAAGGTCGCTGATGCGTTGGAGAATTCCATAACTGTTGTGCTCGTTTCCATGTTCAAGTGCTCCACCTTTACGGGTCTGTTCACATGGCTGGTGCATACGGTGTTTGGCGCACGCATTGTTTTCCTGCCTTCCGCATTGGCTGCCTTGTTGGCGGCAGCTCCATTTTTGGGCAGCTATTGGTGTGCTGTGCCCGCCTTTTTGGAGCTTTGGCTGGCCCAAGATCGTTTCTATGCGGGCCTCATACTGTTCCTCTTACAATTCTTTGTACCCTCGTCCTTTGAGACTGCCATCTATGCGGATCTTAAGGGGTATGTGAACGTGTTTTAGAAAATATTGCAGAAATCAAAGTTCAATCTTTGCAGTGGAGGTCATCCCTACCTCAATGGCCTGGCCATAGCGGGCGGCATGTACTGGATTGGGTGGCAGGGCGCCATATTTGGTCCACTCATGCTCTGCTTCTTCATTGGCCTCTTTGAAGTGGCCACCCTAGCCATGCGAACGCATCAGGAGCCCAGGTATGTTTGGCGCTAGTTAGGCGAAGCTTTGATTCGTTTTGCATGCAAGTTAAGTATTTTATTTATATTGACAACTTTGCGGCTGAAGAATATAAGTAAGTTTGTATTTTGTGTTGTTACAGCCTTTTGTTGTTATTGCTAAATATATTTGTTTATACATTCAGATTTGAATTAGCAATAATAAATTTCAATTTGCAGGCGCAGCTCGGATGAGGAGACGCGCACTACGTAAGTCCTGAGCCAGGCTATAATGGATGCTACTCGAAGCGCAAAACTAACAATCAACAATGGCAAGCTTATAGACTTCGCTGCCCAACTGACTAATCCATTTCAAGTTTGCCAGCCACAGCAAATGTTGTTTCGTTGATTTACGTTTTGCATTGCTTTTGTTTACGCCTTAACGTGTTTGTACTAAATTTTTAAGTATTCTAATAAGTGATTCCGTCTCTTAAAAGCTGTGTTTTAAAAGCAAACGAATTTTACTAATGTGTGTGAATATAAGTTTATATACCCTTGCCGTACGCAGATATTTGTAGAATACTGCTTACCCTATATATGAATTTCCTTAATCTCTTAGCATGTTCCAAAGTCTCTCTAATTTGTAGCCATATTAAGTCTCGAAATTAATATAGTGCTTATTACACAATCTCCAGGGTATATAAGCTTTTTAGTTTTAGTATATATAAATCACATAACTCAACATTTCTTTTGTATATAGAGAGAGAATTGTTTAAAAGCTTGATTCCAGTAACCGTCAACCGGTTTCCTCTTGTGCTCGCTACGAATGTGATTTGTTTAAGCTTATGTTAATTATTGTATTGCAAATAAATGTTATTACGTACTAAACAATTCAGAACATTACAGTGAACACTCGCTAATACGAAGTGCCTTGCTGAAATCTCTAAATAATTGAATCTATTTATGATCTATGAATGATAGTCTTTGCCATATGAAATATTAGTTCATCAAGTTATTCTAATTAACGAGCGTTCACTGTACTTCAACCCAGTTAATTGGTAAGTTCTATTTTCAGTCTAAAACTTGATTCCTTCAACAATCAAAACGAGAATAAAGCCGAAAACGAAAACAAATGTAATGAAAAGGTTCCCACAGTGCTGGATGCCACGCCTAGTCGCAGTGGAAAGCGCGTGGGAAAACCGGTTGTAATGAAAATTATAACAAAAATGCTGCAGCCACTGGACACGCTTAAAAGCAGTTGAAATTTGTATAGTTTTTTTCCTCTTTTATTGTTATGTGGAGTACAAAATATATAAAATGTTTTCATGTTTATAATGGTTTAATCGGTGAACTGATTCTTGAAAGTAAACTCCGGATGCTGTTCCACACTGCAAAAAAAAGGGATGTATTTGCTACGGCTTTTATTAAGGTAGATTGTAGCAGCAGCTTACCCGCGGAAGAAGGAGAAGTCGCAGATGCGTATGTTCTTATCCAAGGCGCACAATTTGGCCACCTCCTCGGCGCTCAGCTCAAAGTCGAAGACGTCCAAATTTTGCTTAAGGCGCGATTCATTCGTGCTCTTCGGTATGGCCACAACGCCCGTGTCAATGATCCAGCGCAGCAGCACCTGAGCTGGAGTCTTCTTATGTGCTTCGGCAATCTGCTTTACCTCAGGTATATCCATCAGATCGGGCAAGTCACGCTGTACTCCAGCGGCCGCATTAAACTTAGCAATGCCCTTGGAGCCGAGCGGCGAGTAGGCCGTAATGGCAACATTCTCGGCCTTGCAGAAGTCCACCAGATCCCGTTGCTGCAGGTAGACATGATGCTCGATCTGATTGTTGGCTGGACGTATTTTGCAATTCTTTAGCAGGCGTGCCACTTGCTCCTTGCTAAAGTTGGAAACGCCAATGGATTTGGCCAAGCCACTTGCAACCAGCTTCTCCATTTCGGCCCAGACGGCAACATGATCCGTTGACTTGTCAACCTTAACGCGGCCCTCATCATCGAACTGAAAGCTGCCGTCGGGATTGATGAATAGCGTGAAAGGCGTATGCACTAGATACATGTCCACATAGTCCAGCTGCAGATCGGCCAGCGATTGCTTGATAGTGGGCTCCACTTCATGTGGACGATTCGCTATATAAAAATAAAGTTAATCTAGCGCTGTGACCTCATAGAACCGGCCTTACCAATGGGTGGCAGTTTTGTTACAATGTAGAGATCCTCACGCTTCACTTTACCAGCGTCCAGCCAACGCTTGAGCACACGTCCAATTGCCTTCTCGTTGCCATAGACCGGGGCTGTATCTATGTGTCTATAGCCCGCCGACAGGGCGACATCGATTGCGGTTTCGATTTCCTCATCAGATGACTAAGTGTGTGTGATGAGATTGCGGTTTAATACATATTTCAAGAATCACCTTTCACTGGCAGACTGAATAATAGTCTTGTCGTTGAATACATTATGATTATGGATCCCATAAATTAAATGTATTACTGATCAGTATCAACAGGTGAGGCGATAAAGACCGGTATGTATGTATGGTACAATAATATACTATATCCTTATTATATATACCTCTCTGTCTTATGTAGATCTTGTGAACACACTTGTATTACAGTTTTCTCACTACCACAAAACTGTTATATGCAGGAAAGTGTATTTAAACATCTTGCACACATCAGAAGTCGTATAACAACTCAACTACTGTGTCATTTTACTTCTGTATAAGCCACTCGACCTTTCGTATAACACTTCTAATGCTTGAAATATAACACATAACTGTTATACGCATGCATTCATCTGCATTCCAAAGATTGCTGCTCTGCTTTGATGAAGTCTTCAAGATTATACCCCGCTTTTTGTTTACTGTTTTTAGTATAGATAATAAAGCTAATTGTATGTTATCTTTTATATTCAGAGAAAGTTGACCCATTGTACTTGTCCCACAAAGATTTTGTTTGTTGACAGAAAGCAAGAACCGGTCACTCAGCATACAAACATCGACTAGCTCAAGCAACGTGACACTGTTGTTGTATAAATAATCAATACATACATTTATGTATATATTAAGCTATGTATTTATATAGATATGTATTTATATAAGGTAAGCACTCTGAGTAATTAAAACGTTTGCAAATGTTGATTAAAGATTACCTGCCAGGTGCCAATGCCAATGACGGGCATTTTCTCACCATTGTTAAGCGTCAAGAACTTTGTGCTAGCCATTATTATTATAAGTATCTTTTTTTAAATCCACTTGTTGAATGCTGATATTACGAAGCGAGAACAAACCCCAACACAACCGTTTGGATTGAACGTTCCAAAGGGAATAACTAAGCGAACTGCTTTGCCGGAGAGTACTAAAGCTTTAAAAGCTTTTGAGTAGTGTACAGTGGGCAGCTTAAGCATATAATTTATAATAACGCATGCAAACAATTATACAGTGAGATCATATCATGTAGTATTTTATGAAAATAAATGTATTATTTTACGGAAAAATATATAGAATTTCCATTTCTAAATGAAAAAAATTTTTTTTCACAATTTGCGCACATAAATGTTTGATTCTTGATCCAATGTGGATAAATTTGTATACAGTGTTGGTCAATACAGCTTAAAGCTATCGATTAATTCGAACATCAAGAGGTATCGATATTATCGTCGGTATAGTGAATATTTCGGCGCATATATTTTGTAAGTTATTAAGTATTTAAAATAACAACTGATTAGGAACTAACACCTAATTACAATTTTTAAGCTATTTCAATGAAATCAGCCTTAAATATAAGCTCATTCCATGAGAAATTAAATATGAAGCAACAGGTAGTTTTTGTCAGCACGTGTTCGAAACGTGAGAGCAGTTATTCCGTGCGTCTCTTACGCTGTTCGTAAGAAATAAGCAAACAATTGCTGCGAAAGCTTGATATAATTGAATTAAACGTGCAAAATGCTGCGCAAAGTGCCAATTATAGTTATACTGGGCTCGACAGGCACGGGAAAGACGAAGCTATCACTTGAGCTAGCAGAACGTTTTGGCGGCGAAATTATTAGCGCGGATTCTATGCAAGTTTATACGAACTTGGATATCGCCACAGCAAAGGCCACCAAAGAGGAGCAGGCACGAGCGCGGCATCATCTGCTAGATGTTGCAACACCGGCGGAACCATATACCGTCACGCATTTTCGCAATGCGGCATTGCCCATCATAGAGCAGCTGCTGGCCAAATCTAAGCCCCCAATTGTGGTTGGTGGAACGAATTACTATATAGAATCCCTACTGTGGGACATACTTGTGAACACCAAGGACGAACACCAGGCCTCGGTAGACAGTCCACTGTTCTCCGCGGAGGTAATGGCCGCCATGTCAACAGCGGAACTGCATCAGCATTTACGGAAAGTTGATGCCGGCAGCGCGAATCGAATACATCCCAACAATCGCCGTAAGATCCAGCGCGCCATTGAGGTCTACCAAAGCACGGGCCAGACCTTGACCGAAAAGCTATTGGAGCAGCGTAAACAGCCAGGTGGCAACCGTTTGGGAGGTCCATTGCGCTATCCACACACCATTTTGCTCTGGCTGCGTTGCCAGCAGGACGTGCTCAATGAGCGTCTGGATAAGCGCGTGGATAACATGTTACAGCAGGGTCTGCTGCAAGAGTTGCGTCAATTCCACAATAGCTACGCGGACGTCACAGTCCAGGCTTATACAAAAGGCGTCCTGCAGACCATTGGCTACAAGGAGTTTGTGCCGTATTTGTTAAAATACGATGCGCAACAGGATCTAAAGTTGGAGGAGTATCTTAGTGCCCACCAGTACCAGCTGCCTACTGCAGAGCAGCTGGCAGCTATGGAGACGGAGAAGGCGGAGCAGCTCGCTGCTAGTCTCAAACTTCTGAGCAGCTGTTGCGATGAACTGAAGCTCGTGACGCGTCGCTACTCCAAGAAGCAGTTGAAGTGGATAAATAATCGATTCTTGGCCAGCAAGGATCGACAAGTGCCCGATCTCTATGAGCTGGACACCAGTATCGTAAGCGCCTGGCACGAAAATGTGTACAAGCGCGCCGAGTGCATCATCGACAGCTATTGCCAGGCGCAAATCTGTGAGATTGCGCCCATGGCCAAGCGCGTACATCCCGGCGCCGAACTCAACGAGGAGACGAGCAACTTCTGTGCCATTTGCGAACGTCACTTCATCGGCGAATATCAGTGGAGCCTGCATCTCAAGTCCAATAAACACAAACGTCGGCGCGAGTCGCAGCGACGCAAACAGCAAGAGGCAGACGCAATCGGACCCCAATCGAAGCCGGCAGCAACAACTGTCGCCGAGTTTTCCGATAAGACGCTGTAAACGAGACGAACAGACAGTTGCAATAATAAATGTATTTTACGTACACACAACCTGAGTAGTAGCTTATTGATGTGAGAGTGTATTTTGCGAAGATCATTATTGTTTTGCCGTGAAATATGTAACATGATGAAACAACTGCTTTATGTATGAGTATAAGGTATATTAAGTATATATATATATATATATTTTTTTTTTATATTATATGTTATGTATATATATATATTTTTTTTTTTTTTTTTATATATTATATGTTATATATATATATATATTCTATTTTAGTCTTTAAGCAGACAGACAAACATTAACACACATATCTGTCTGTCTGCTTATACGTGCAAAGGGCCTATATTATTAGCTGTATTATATAAGAACTTAAAAAACTATATTTTTTAAAGAAATATTTGAAATAATTGAAGAGTTTTGTTAAAGCCTTAACACTCTAATTTAGGTAATTTTACGATATATAACTTTCATATGATGATCTATCAAAAACTGATCTCTCATATTTATTAAGATTATCCGAATACACTCCTATTGCATATATGTTTCACAACTATAATATAAGCCGCATTCTATAATAGTACAAATATAGACCACAGTTGAAGTTAAAGGGTATTGAAACTAAAGGCAATTTATAAATATTTGTTAATGTTTTTTGCTGATGCAACCGAATCAGATGACCCTTCCTTTGAATTGTAGAGAGGGGCTCTTGTTCGCTATCAGCTTAAAGCCGCAGCCCACAGAGGTCGTTGCCTAGGCGAACAGCGAAAACATGTTTGTGCAGTGGAAGCCCACGTCGGTGCATTGAAAACGTTTCATCTTTCATTTGCATTTCAGCTGTTGAGTGGAACGCACGTACGCACGCCTTTGGACTAGCAACGATGACAAACCAGAAAATAGGTGGGCAGATTGCAGGCATATAGTGGAGTATATAATAATATGTATATTTGCAGCACTGATCAGCGTCTCGGACAAGACGGGCCTGCTGGAGCTGGGCAAGCAGTTGGTAGCTCTGGACTTTCAACTTGTGGCCAGCGGCGGCACAGCAACTGCGCTGCGCGGCGCTGGCCTGAGCGTCAAGGAGGTCTCCGATATAACGGGTGCACCCGAAATGCTGGGCGGTCGCGTCAAGACGCTGCATCCTGCCGTGCATGCGGGCATATTGTCGCGGATCACTAACAGTGATCTGGCCGATATGAAAAAACAGCAGTACGATCTCATCCAGCTTGTGGTCAGCAATCTGTATCCGTTTACCAGCACCATAGCTAAACCAGGTGTCAGCGTGGCCGAAGCCGTTGAGAACATTGATATTGGTGGCGTGACTTTGTTGCGTGCCGCAGCCAAGAATCATCAGCGTGTCACTGTTATATGTGAGGCCGTCGACTATGCCAAGGTTTTGGCTGAGATTAGTGCCAATGGCGATACCACGCTGGAGACGCGTCAGGCTTTGGCACTTAAGGCTTTTACGCACACGGCCAACTATGACGAAGCCATCTCTGATTACTTTAGAAAGCAATATGGTGCAGGCAGCTCGCAATTAAATCTACGCTACGGCATGAATCCTCACCAGAAACCGGCGCAGCTGTACACACAGTTGGCCCAATTGCCGCTACGCGTGGTGAATGGCTCGCCCGGCTTTATCAATCTCTGCGACGCGCTCAATGGCTGGCAATTGGTCAGGGAATTGAAGCAGGCACTGCAGTTGCCGGCAGCCACTAGCTTTAAGCATGTCTCGCCTGCTGGCGCCGCTGTGGGCGTGCCGCTCAATCCCGCCCAAGCTAAGCTCTGCATGGTAGACGATCTGTTCGAGCAGCTGACGCCCTTGGCCACGGCATATGCACGTGCACGTGGTGCCGATCGCATGAGCTCCTTTGGTGACTTTGTGGCCTTGTCCGATGTTTGTGACGCGGTAACGGCCAAGATCATTTCGCGTGAGGTTTCCGATGGGATCATTGCTCCCGGCTATGAGCCGGAGGCATTGAACATACTCAAAAAGAAGAAGAACGGAAACTATTGTGTTCTGCAGGTACATCTCCGCATATCGAATATGCCCAACTCGAGCTATCACTAATCCTGAAACACTTGCAGATGGATAGCAACTACGAGCCGAGCGCTTTGGAGCGTAAGACTATTTTTGGCCTCACCCTAGAACAAAACCGCAACGATGCCATCATTGATGCAAAGCTCTTCTCCAATGTGGTCAGCAAACGCAGGCCGCTGCCCGAGTCCGCTGTGCGGGATCTGATTGTTGCCACCATTGCCCTAAAATATACCCAGAGCAATTCCGTGTGCTATGCACGCGATGGTCAGGTGATTGGCATCGGTGCTGGCCAGCAGTCGCGCATCCATTGCACACGTCTGGCTGGCGAGAAGGCGGACAACTGGTGGCTGCGCCAGCATCCCAATGTGGCCGCGATGAAGTTCAAGGCGGGCGTGAAGCGTGCGGAGATTTCCAATGCCATTGACAACTATGTGAATGGTACCGTCGGCAAGGATATGCCAGTGGCGCAATTTAAGAGCATGTGAGATGGGCTACCAACTGTGAAAATGTATTTTCTCTAACCCGCTGATATCTTTCAGGTTCGAAACGGTACCAGAAGAGCTGACGACAGAGCAGAAATTGGACTGGCTGAAGCAATTGAGTGGCGTGGCCCTCGGCTCTGATGCATTCTTTCCCTTCCGCGACAACATTGATCGCGCTAAGCTTGTACGTACTTTCAATTCATAATGCCCCAAGCAATTGCTAATTCTTAATCTAATGCTTACAGAGCGGCGTCTCCTACGTAGGCAGTCCGTCGGGCTCCACCAACGATGTAGGCGTCATTGCCGCCTGTGATGAGCATGGCATTATTATGGCGCACACCAATCTGCGTCTCTTCCATCATTAACTCGCACTTCATGAATCAATACAATTTATATGTGACCTTAGCCACAGCACATTCCTGTAACCTGAGCAATAAAAGACACTTGCCTTAGTTAGTTAAACGTTCGCTGCCTCGACTAATAGCTATATTTATTTTATTAAGAAAATTAGTTGCTAACTAATGTACAGTTGATGGAGTGCGGCCCGTTAGTAGCGCCGACTGCGTCGCTTGCGACAGGCGCCGCGGCAATTGCACACAAAGATGATGAAAGTCAAGCAGAAGAGCAGCACAGAGGCCAGGACCAAGGCCACAGTTGTGGTCTGATCATAGTTCAACGTGGCGTCCAGCACATGCTGCTGCGGCAGCAGCTGATAGTCGTGCAGCACCTGTGTGCCGTTGGGCGGTGGGCAGGGCTGCTGTACAATGATCTCCTGGTGCTGCACCTGCAATAGTCAAATTTTTTATATAAGCCAAAAATTCCTATGCCAAATAAGTTCTGTTGCAGTTACCTGTTTGTTGCGGCACAGCTGCAAGCCTGCCGAATTGGCCAATGTCTCGGCGCTGTACTCATCTTGCACCAGCACGGGCAGCAGCCAGCGTTGCGGCGACGCTTGCTGCAGCCAGGACCACAGTGTGGACAAGTTACGCGGATGCACCAAATAGCCACCAACAGCGGCCAGCGTGAGGCTGATCAAGGCATTGACCAGACTGGCAGACACCTTGCAGGGCAGCAGATGGGCGCAGAACAAGGCGAGCGTTTGTATTAGCGTCAGATAGAGCAGCATATACCCTGTAAAGAATAGAGTTAAGCAACTGCTGTGATGTCCTTTTGGCTATCGCTAGACTCACCCATGTACAGGTAGATGCCCGTGTCGCTGCTATTGGAATAGGTATAGAGTCCGGCCATGCTGTGTGCCGGCAGTAGATAGGCCAGCCAAATGCACAGGCTGGGGAACAAGCCCAGCAAGCTCTGCAAGAAGGGCGATCGAGTTAAGCATCAGAGGATTCAGAGGAGAAACGTGCATATAGCTCACCTGCACAATGATGTAGAGACTGCGCGAGTAGAGACCCAGTCGAACGTCCCGCTCCGCATGGCGTCGATCCTCCTGTGTGTCACGTATGGTCAGCATGACCAGTGGCCAGTAGGCCAGCACCATGACGCAGTGATGATAGCCGAAACGATCGTTGTACGACAATTGTGGATCTGAGGCAGGCACGTCCCAGAAGATGCAGCCAATGCAGAGGGATAGCACCGCGGCAGCAATCAGCTTGCTAATCCAGGTGAGCAGCGATCCGGGCTGCTTGTAGGCCGCAAAGCGTTTTATCAGCGCCTTGACCTGGCCAAAGAAACCCGCCTTCATCGTGAAGTTGGGCAGCGAGGCGGGTGGCGCTGCCAGCGGTGGCTCCGAGTTGATTTGATCCCAGGCATTGGCCAACGATTCGATGCGCGCCGATGACTCCAGCATAGCAGCTGCCGACAGATCATCCAAGGTGACCAGATCAACTAGAGAGCAGAGGAGTCAGACAGATACAGGTATAGATATCCGGCGTACTTACGATAATAGTCCGCTGGATTCTTAAAGGGCGGACACGGATAGCCCAGTTCGCCCATGTGACGTGGCAGATCGGCCCGGCTGCCGGAGAAGACTGTGCGGCCGCCGGACAGCAGCAGCACGCCGGAGCACATGGACAAAATCTCAAAGGTGGGCGGCTGCAGTGTCATGATGACAATACGCCCGCCGCTACACCACTGACGCAGATACTCCACCAGAAAGAAGGTGTCAAAGATGTCCATATTGCTGGTGACCTGATCGAGGATCAGCAGCGATGACTGCGCCAACAGCTGGCAGGCAACGCTCAAACGTTGCTTCTCCGAGTGCGTGAGCGTCGAGACATTCGAGGCGCGCACCGTATTCAGACCCAGATCCTCGATGAGCACATCCATGCGCTCTTTCAGATCACTGCGATCTAGCGGGCCACGCAGCGCCGCATGGAAATTCAGCGTGCACTGAACGCTCATGCGCGGATCCAGCGAGGAGACGTCCAGGGCGGGCACATAGCTGCACAGCTCACGCAGACCCCGTCGATTCACCTGCTGGCCATTGATCAAGATCTCGCCGCCCAAGCGCTCCCGCAGACCGGCCAAGCACTCGGCCAAGGCGCTGCCCTCGCGCTGCGATGTGGCCATAATGGCAAACAGATCGCCCGCCTTTGCCTGCAGCGAGACGCCGTGCAGGCACGGACTCACGTCCAGGCAGTGCACCTGTATATTGGGATAGATCAGACCCATGCTCGACTGTTTGCGTCCATAAGGCTGGGCTTGCCGGGAGCTGCCATAGATGCGCGACTCGCCATAGTCATAGCCCAGGCCTCCATCCCCGCCCAGCCCGGCGCCCAACAGATCCGCCTCGCTGTGCGAACGATGCCCGTAGTGCTTGCCATTGGTCATGTACTGCTGCTGCTGCTGCATATGCTGCTGCTGCTGGAGATGATGGTGCTGGCCGACGGCTATGCTGGCGCGGCTGTTCGCCTGTCGCAGCGCCGACGCTGGCACGCCGCCCTGGGCGCGCGACTCGGGTCGGGAGTGCGCCATGCCCATGCCGCTGATGGCACGGAAATCGGATTCGCTGCGATACTTGCGCAGATTGGGCGGCACGCGACTGCGCGTGGTCTCATTGTCGCTGCTGTCATAGCCGCTGGAGCCGGCGCCCGCCGGTGCACCCGAACTGTCCCGAAAGCCGCGATTCACACGGCCGCGCACGCCGCCCAACGCACTGGAGCCGCCCGGACCCGGACCAGGTCGATGGGAGCGCTGTGAGCCCGCATTGGGCGGAAACACGCGCGGCAGTCCAAACTTTAGATATGTGTACATATTGGAGCCTAGAGGCGATCTGTGGACAGAGAGAAGCGTAAAGAGGGAAGTTTGTTGAAATTAAGAATAAATTGGATTGGTTCTAGAAATAAACTCTAGATATAGAATTATATAAGCAGTAGAAAACATACTGAAGTTGTTAAGCTCTTCTTGCAAACATTGCAATTAGTATAACTAACAAAATTTCTAGTTCCTAACCTAAAACTTATTTAACTTGGTCAAAACTGTATCGTCTTTCTTGGAAAGCATTTCTTCTTATTTACCTTTTCACTTCTAGTTTGAATTTAATAAAAATTTAACATTTCGATCACTTAAAATATTTTTTCTATTTTTCTTACATCAAAAAGAATTTTTCCTGAAATTTTATTGTTATCTTTATCGGATATCCAAATTGGTAATTAAAATGGAGTAAATTTATATTTATGCTAAATTCTGAATAGCTTTAAAATTGTTCTCTTAAGTCAGCTAAATTTTGACTTGTAGCTAAATCTTTGTTTCAGAAGCTACATACACTGATCAAAACTCAAGAGACTTTGGCGCTTTGAATTAATCTGAATTTTAATTTTCTTTAAAATTAGCAATAAATTATTTTTGAAATTTTTATATCTAAAATTTTTAGCCCAAAAACTTAAAAATCTAGAAATCTTAATTAAAAAAAAAAAAAATATATATATATATATATATATATATATATATTTATTTATATATATATATATATATATATATATATATATATTTTTTTTTTTTTTTTAATTTAATATAATATTTCTAGATTTTTAAGTTTTTAGGAAAGAAAATTAAATTTTTTTTACATTTTTTTTCAATTAGTTTTTACTTAATTTTTTTATTAAAACCAAAATTTTTAAGCTGTATATTTTTATAAAAATGAATTTAAATCATTATTTCATGCATTTTGATACCATTTTATTTTTCGCTTAATTTAATAACTACTTTTATAATTTTATTATTGCTCGAACAAATTTGCTGTATCAATAATAGAAATAAAAAATCTTGTCAGCATTAAGGAATGTTGTTAATTGAAGATGCGAGTGCTTATGGCATGCACAGGTGAGTAATAAGATATATAGATATATATACATGTTTATATAGACATATAATTATCTATTGGTTTTTTTACTTACTTGGGTCCGTAGCGCGGATGATTTAAGATTGATTGCACTGTGGTATCTCGTAGCTGGAAGTTTCCATATGGCAGCGGTGATTTATCTGACGAGCCCAGCGCCGAATCGGTGAAGTCAGAGTTCAGATTTTGCCTGCGAGGCGGGAAGAGAAAGGCGTGGAGAGTTGCGCTTAGCTGGTCAATTGACAATTGTTAAAACGGGGCGTGGTCAATGCGGTTAATTAAAGTTATGGCAGTTGAACTTCCGCTACGGTGCGGTTTAATCAAGCGCTTCAAAATTGTCAAGCAACAGGTGCAGCAGCAGCAGCAACAGTAGCAGCGGATGTAGCAAGGGCACGCCCACAATGCTTCCGCACTTACCTATAGATGGACCAGGCATGCAGATCTTCGGATGCTGCCGGCGGCAGTGGTGTATTGGGACCATGCGGCACTGAATAGCGACGCTCCTCGCGTGACATTTTCTTATTGCTGGAAAAGTTGCTCAGCTCCATGGTCTATAAAAGAGAGAGAGACAGAGAGAGCGGAAGAGATAGCATGAATTAGTGTCTTGGTGCCAAAAAATGTGGCTAATTTCCAGTTAAACTGGGTCAAGAATGTCAGCGTGGCGGTTATTACTCATAATTTGCGGGAATTAGCTTAATGAAAGCCACGCACACATACATAAATATATAAGTATATGCGTGTATCTGTATAAGTGTGTGCCATTGTTGCGACGAGATTTGTACCCTATAGCTAGAGAGATGAGGTAGACACACTGAGAAAACAATAGCTGAGATTGTGAAGACTATAAGACTAAGGCTATGAATGGAGATTGAATGTGGATATATAGCAGAAGATCTGTTTGATTTTGTGATCATGTAATTAATAATGATAAAATCAATTACTCTACTATGCACCATTTGAGATACTACCTTTATGGCAGATCTACAAGCTAACTGCAGAGTTAATATTCTAATGAGATAATCTCGCCTAGCTGCAGAGCAGATAGTTGCTAATTTTCAGCACAAATCTCAAAGTCTATAGATGATAATGATGATACATTTTTAATCTATGATCAGAGGAGCGCATATTAAATATATTACTAATATATTTCTAATTTCAATTCACG